AGAAATATGGTTAGGTATGTTTACAGCTACACAAAGATCGGCTCCGCAAAACATATGCCAAATGCCGCCAGAGTCACGGTCAAATATAGTTCTCCCGTTGTTCGCTGGTAATGGATGATTAGCCAATCAGAGTGCACTCTTGGTAATATAGCATTAGTAGGAACTTAGTGGTAACAAAAAAATATCCACTGCCAATTTGAATCATATGGTAAATGAGATCTTTGTTTGGTAATACTGTACTCTGGAGTGCTTACTCATGTAAACCGGCAACTTCAGAATATTTTGGGTAAATTTGCAGTTGTGAACCACCATGGAATCTCTTGAATTTTATCTGTGCAATTAATAATTCAGACAATTCTAAGACACTTTTCTTCTATGACGCTTCCCTCGCAAATGATCTGAAAATGGCCTAGCCTAACCTAACCTAACAGGGGAGCTCCACCCCCTGCACCCTCTGGCATAGAAAAAAAGTGTTATAGAATTGTGTGAACTACAGATTACAGAGATAAAATTCTTGAGTTTCCACAGTTGTAGATTCAGTAGATGACATACATACATGAGAAGCTTTATTAATTGTATTATGTCAGAAATTTATCGTTTTGTAGTAAATTGAATGATAAAGGATGAAAAACTTCTACCCGGTATATATCTGTAGCGGATACACCCCATTTCGTCACCAGTATCAATTCCGTTTCGTCACCACTAACAGTCGCCAGTATTAGTGACAAATTGGAAGTTATTATTTTACACGAATAGAAATTACACATGTATACAGATGACTCGAGAATTATTGTTATTATGATACTTGAATATTAATTATTTAATAAAGAAAACGATTAAAACATTGGTAATTAAACAAAATACAGAACAAATGAAGGTGATTTGGCACCAGCGCATAAACCACTGAGCAGCAAAGAACAATCTCGCTCTCTACCTTCTTGTCCCTCTTCTTCACAGAGAAGCCTCAATGGTTGATTTGCAATTTCAACTAGTTGCTGAGCACAAGTTAAAATCGTGCACACACAAGAAAAGCAAATCATGACAAACAAGTCCATCTCTGGAAGCTGTGGGATGAATATGAAGAAAAAAATATCACCACTTCTAATTTCCTAAAAAGTTGTCAGTGTCTTCTTCCAAGCGTGCATGAGTAATAACAATGATTTTATTATATTTTATTTATTTATTTTTTTTAGTCTCACATTATTGTTTCAGTGAGATGATTGCAGGCATATTAACAATGTTTTTATTTTTGTTTAGTTTTAGTCTTTAATAAATTGTTTAAGTGGGATGATTGCATGAATAATAACATTTTTATTTTTTATTTTCGTCTTTAATAAATTGTCTTAGTGAGATGCTTGCATGATCCAATGAATTGTTATGCAGAGGCATAATTTCGTATTACAATTTTGTAAACTAGGTGGTATGATTACAGTATTTTCTATCCTAATCAACGGTTATTTTTGTGTATATTGATGTATTAATTATGTAAGAATTTTCTGGAATGTAATTGCCCTTGAATTGGTGATGGGAATGAACGCGGTGACGAAACGTGTAAAAACAGTGGTGACAAAATGGGCACACCCCACTGTGTTAGTTCTCCAGTTTATTAGAGTAAATTTTTTTATATCTATTGTTTTCTTCTGAACTTGATATAGACATGATCAGGTTTCTACAAAATTTATGTTTTTTAAGTTAATTGGAGCAAATTTTGTGGGATACTGTATAATGCTTAATTCTCAATCACATGAACTTCACATGACCAGGCTCCACCAATCAGGATAGCATGTTACGTGACAGATCTGAGCATGACCAAGCATTTCATCTGGATAGTGAGTTGCAGTATGTTTTCCTTGTGTCATGGCTGTTCTACATCTGAAAGGAAAATTATTCAGTGTGTTCTGCACAAGAATGATGCTATTAAAATTTTCAAGGTGCATAATATATAGTCCAACTCGACCCATTGCCAACTTGGCCCACATCCAACTCGGACCAACCATCATACACTATCTCGGATAACTAACTCGGACCACTTGGGTTTACGAACTCGGACTAAAAAGTAAAAGTTTACGCATTTTTGCATGAACGATAAAAAGCAGCATAGATTGTAAGGGGGGGATAATTGATTTATTATTTATCATTTCATTCTATCTTATTAATATATTAATTGACATATGTGGAAGAGGTGATCTGTTTTCTTTTATGAATAATTTTATATTTAGTTCACAATTAAGATCACTTTACCTGGAGACCTGACAACGACACCCTCACAAAATATGACGGGTGAGGATAATCTGATCACGAGATCTGAGGTTGACGAGTTCCACAACAATTTAAGTAACGAGTTACTTAATGCACAAAGGCAGAACATACCATACAGAAAACTCGGATCAAATGACAATGACTCCAAATGGATAGATAATTATTTAAAGAATATTATTGGCCAAAGAAAGGCTATAGGTTGGAGAATAAATGGTGATGTTTACCTCAGCGATTATAAGGTAATGGCCAGTAGGGTTAAGACCGAGATAAGAAAAGCAAAGAGGAATAATGAACTGAAGGTAGCAAAGGAGGCAAAGTCATTCCCTAAGGGATTCTTTCAAATGTATCAAACTGATAATGACAGAAAAATGAGCAATAATCTGAACAGACATTTTTCAACAGTTTTCACCACCGAAGATGGTACAGAGATAGAGAAGAAAATGGATTAAGAGAGATAGTAGTGACTAGTGACGATGTTAGTAAGCAAATAGACAAGTTAAAGCCTCATAAGTCACCAGGTCCTGATGAGATATTTACCAGAGTATTAAAGGAATGTAAGAAGAGCTTGGTATGCCCTTAGCAAAGTTGTTTAACATGTCATTAAAAAAACGGGTGTAGTGCCAGAATCTTGGAGGGTAGGAAATGTTATACCGATTTTCAAGAAGGGAGATTAGATCACTATCCTCTAACTTCTGTTCAATCAGTTTAACATCAGTTGTAGGCAAGTTGCTGGAAGTAATAATTTCAAACCCTATTCGAAATCATCCGAAGAAGCACAAATTACGAATGTGAATCCTTGTTCATTGATCAAGTTCTACTAACATAAACTCATAAAATTCGTCCTTCATACCGATTGAACCCTTGGTATTCACTCATCCACACTTCATATTTCAGTGAACCATAGGAGACATAAAACATATCTCAACTCATTTCTGAACCTCGAGTCAGCTACTTGTTTGAAGTGTGTAAGGTGGGCCGAGATAGTAATGTGTGGGCCCAGTTGGTTATATAAGGTGGGCCGAGATGGAGGTACACCGTATATATATCTCTTTAAAGTGTTGACTGTCATTATTGTACTTTCACACAACCATGAAATCTTAGCAATTTTATCTCTGCAATCAATAGTTTAGACAATTCTAAGACACTTTTCTTTTATGATGTTTCCCTTGCAAGTGATCTGAAAATGAACAAACCTAACCTCTTTGGACCCCCCAACAAAACAACACCCTCCCATATATGATAATAACGAGACTAAAACACATCCAATATCTCCGTTATTTGACATTTACAAGGTAAGTGTCATGGAAGAAAGGAGTCATAGAATTATTAGATCTGTAGATTGCAAATGCCCAAATCCCCAATTGAGGTGGTTGTACGTAGCTAAAATAAGGTAAGATTTGGTGAAGTTAGGTCAGGTTGCCAAAGATTTGATTGGTGCTTTTGTGTGTGTGTGTGTGTTTTAACCTCACAATTTCCCTCGTCTTCATAGTCCTTGCCCATTTTTTGCATCCATTGCCAGGAATAATGGTCATTCTTTTATACACCATCAGTTACATAAGAAAACCCTATTCTTGTTAAATGATTCAGGCCTTTCCTTGCCAAATTTTTGTTTTTTCGGCACAGGTATTTGACTTGTTGCCACCCTAAGAATTTTGAGAATTTTATAGTATCAATCAAAATTTTAGACAATTCTAAGTTGCTCCAGACTTCATATTACTGTATGCACTCTAGTTTGATTTTACATCATGTCATTTGCAGATGTACTGTATAGTGTGTACTGGTGTATTAATTTCCTTTTCACTTTATCATACTTGCTTATTTCTCCATACAGTGTGCAGTGTTTTGCCATGTTTTTACATAATAGTGATTCAGCCTCTTCTGTTGAGTAAAGAATATCTTTTTTTATTTTATTTTTTTATTTTTTTTTACAAGTTAGTCTCTGAATAAAAGTTTATTTGACCTAAGTGTAGAGTAACCTCTGGTAAGTATTTAGGACAGGGGTATTAACATTTATGGTATAACCTTACCATATTTATTACATTAAATGTAATTTTTGCAGTGTTTATCATCGTGAATTTTGTGTATTGGGAATATACTGTATACGAGTTGTAGGTGTTAGGATGTTATGGCCAAGCATGAGTGATGTAAACTTGAATATTTGGTGCTGAAGAATGTTAGTGTGGAGAGACCCTTACAATAAGAAATTCCTGCATTCAAGCTTCATTATTTTGAAGTAGCTAAGAAAGTCCTGCATTCAAGCTTCATTATTTTGAAGTAGCTAGATTGTGTAACAACAGATTCTTTATTAACAAGGATTTACTGTACAGTACCTTCTTTGTTTCACCATAAATGATGAGTAAGTCTGTCTTAAGCCAACTGAAGGCTGATCTTATATAGGGCTGCTATGTATACTGTGCCATACCTTCTGTTAGCCAGTCACATCTTAATTAGCAAACTGCCCTTGAAGCTGCTACAACAACTAGTCTTGGTCAAAATGTTGTGATTAACTCATAACCTGTCACACCACCACCAAGCTTTAAAGATTATAAGAGTTTCACAGCACAGTGTACTCATTAGTGTACCAAGCCTTCAGTGAGAGCAGGCAAGTTGTGGCACTGATAGTATGTTTTACCTGTTGTATAGGAAGGAGGGGGTCATGCTACAACATTGTAATGTTCCATTTACGTTTTTTTCCAATTTTCTGAATGGTATTATAACAGGTGTGAAATATCTTCCACCAGGTTGGAGTGCCCTACATGAAGCATGTAATCGGGGATTTTATAATGTTTCCAAGTTGTTGATTGAAGCAGGAGCAGACGTAAATGCCAAAGGTTTAGATAACGATACTCCGCTGCATGATGCCTGCATTAACAATCACTTCAAGGTAATATTTTCAGAATTCTTGTTCCTCTGCCCTTGTTATTCTTTTTAACTAAATTGATGTCACTATAATACAGTACATCTCGAGAGAGATAGTTATGAGTTAAAGTACACATTCATGTCAAACTGCCCTTTTGCCATGCATCTCATATTATTCATACATTATATAACTAACTGCACCCCAGGATTCCCTAGTTTCACTGATTGGGCAAATGTGACTAATCAACCAATAAGTGGTAAAAAATACCTATACAGTATAAGAAATCTAGTGATAACTAGGTGCTGTACATTGAGCATGTAATGTCACTGGTCTGTACACAGACCTTGATCTGCAGTGATTTTCAGAATTTGCTTAGATGGATTGGTCAACCCACCACCATCATGTACTCTGTTGCCTTTCCCTTAGTGAAACATTTTCAACCCTGTCTCTTACAATGCAGATGTCTGTCAGCTTCCTGTTTTGAAAATTAAATGCTACTGGGCTTTTGCTGTTAAGCACTTTTGAGGGGGTTGAGACGCAGCTACACATTTCCAGTTGGTTCAAATTCACAATGAAAATTTTAACATTTTATGTCTTTGCAAGGTTGAATTCTATTTGTTAACCTAACCAGTTTTTGCTCTTGGCATGTTAGCTAATGTGCCTGTTCAACTCTAGGATTCATGCCTCGGAGTAGTTGATGATTTCAAAATCAGTGACACTACACTTACAGGGGTTTAGTTGATTATTGGGAACTAGGACCTGGGCTGAAATATACAGTACTGTAAATCTAATTTGGTGTGGTCATTGATGAAACTACAGGCTGTTTCTCTAAGACTGCTGAATTTTTGGGGAATGTCCTCAAAATGCTCAAAGCAGGACTAGCCAGGCTTGAATACACATTTCTTGGTTTGAGAATTTTATGTAAAGTACTCGCTGGCATTTTATTTTTAAATGAAGGGCTTTTTCACTTTAAACAGTTGGATGAATTGGTGAAATTAATTCAGGCTGACAGACTACTACTGATCTTTTCTGACTTGACATCTGAGTCACACTCCACCATGACCACATGTGGACTTAAACATTTTTGAATGATCAGGATTTTATTATTATTAGCTTTTAATTTTCTGAAATTTGCATCATGGAATTTGAATTACAGTAAAACCTCCATAACTCAGTACATACAAGGCTGAGGTCTTGCCGAGTAATTGAATTTGCCGACTTATCGGTAATAAGCGCCTATATACAGTACAGTACAAGTATAATTAAATAAAAAATAGTTGTATTTGGTACTGTATTTACCAACAACAAAGGGCAATTTCTTGATGAGCTTGTAAGGGGCAGATGAACTGTACAGTACTGTATAATGTACTGTATTGTGTGTAACACTTCACAGGCACTGTACAGTAGAGTAAATTGTTCTGATGAACTTAATACTATTGTTTATATTGTATGTACTCTTAATACATAACAGGAACACTTCATAGGCACTGTAAATAATTGTTCTGACAAACTTAAGACCACACTTTATACATAGCACTTAACACTATCTGTACAGTAACACATGACAGGCACTTAATCACTGTTAGAAAGTCTACCTGTGATGAGAGGTGAACATAAACCTGATGTTCACTGGCTGTCAACTGAAGCTCAATGTGGGCCTGCTTGCTGAATTCTTGCTCATAACTCGGCTCCTGCTGACTTGGTGCCGATTTGTCGACTGCTCAAAAATGTAACGGTTATCTGGTGCTGTACCAATTTATCACAAATTTAGACTTATCAGATGCTGAGTTATGGGGGTTTTGCTGTAGTTTTAAGAGAGAGAGAGTAACCCCAGTGTTGTCATAATTTTTTTAAAGACACTGTCTTAAAGTGAAAAATGAGAATGCGTTGTTTATGTAACTAGCTTCTTAATACAGTGTACAGTATAAAGTAATGTAGGTGAAGATGTGAGTAATGTATTTTGGTGATGAAATCAGGTGGAAGTATATTAGAAAGAGACTAAATTGGAAGAATGGCAGTATAGTATATTACTGTACAGGTAAGTGGTGTGCAGTTTACTGTTGCTCTGCTGGTGGAAATAATGTAGAATGTTTTGTACAGGGATTAAAAGTTAGAAGATACTAGTGATTTAGAAGGATTCTTCATGCACTTTTGGAAATGAGTTACATTTTGGTAGTAGATAAATTTTTTGTGCACATTTCAGAGATGAAACTCCATTAGTTTAAAAGTATCTTATCTGAGTCTTCAATTGAATCAGCTGGTGCGGCTATTGCTAAGGTGTGGTGCAGGAGTTGACGTTGTGAACAGACGAGGGAAGACTCCACGTGACGTGTGTCGCTCCCCTGGAATTGTGTCACTGATAGAAGCAGCAGCACGTGGGCACCTCCAGGAGTTGGGCTCATCTTCTGGTGACGAACTCCCGCAACATTACAAAGGTAGTGTCTCATCATCGCAAAAAATAATACTGTAAATAAAAATAATCTTTATCATTAGAATTGAAGTAAAGTAGAAAACACATTTTGACTCAATTGTGTTGCACTGATAAGATGGTTAAGTTTTTATATTTCCTCCTTAAACTTCATGAATGGTAGGATATACCATTGATAATTTTATTGATCTTTGTAATTACTGATAGTAATGATTTTATTTTTTTATATTGCAATGGTGTTGGATTTAAGATTTTTTAATAGGCAGGGGTCAGTCTCTGACATGGACCCCACCCTGAAAAGGAAACAAAGGAGAAAAAGAGGATTAATTTTGAAACATTCAAGCCCCTCATATTTAGGGACAATTAATTTTTCATGTTGACTATTCATGAAGTAGGTGTCACTATTTTTTGTAGAGCTCTTCCTCAGTAATTTCTAGTGTTAAAAGTCTAGATTGAACAACACAGGAACTCTATCGTCTGGTGCCTTTTTTAAACTGCTGTAACAACAGGGCACTATGATTCCCATCTTGTTTACAGCACAGTATTATATATTAGTTGTGTGTCCATTCTTATCTCGTCTTTCTACCTCCTTCTTGGCCATTCCCTGTCTTTACCACCCTTTAATGCTGAATTGTTATTAACCATCTTGCTCATCAAGATGTGAATCACATCAAATTATTGGGTCGCACTATTTGCATCAGTGACGTAAATTGTCATTAGGCATCAAAAATTCCCCCCCCCTCCCTACCCTCCCTCCCTCCCTCCCTCCCCCCCAAAAAAGAAGATAATTGAGTACATTTCTTTGTGCGTCATGAATGCGTGATCTTGTGAGGGAAGCTTCCAGAAAGTACCAAAGCGTGTGTTGAGTTTACTGTCCATCAGTTTTTTCCCATCAACCATAATTAGTCATAAAAATTCCAAAGCCCCTGTTGGAAAGCTCCTAAAATTCTGCTTCTATAACTTTCATAATAATGTATCTTGGTTGATTTGTGAGAAAATATCTTGAGATATGATGCTGGGAATACTAGTAATTCATTTTTTCTTTATTCAAGGTGAGAAAAGGGGGTTTCTCTCTCCTCTTTTCTCTCCTCTCTCTCTTCTCTTTTCTCTCCTCTTTCTCTTCTCTATTTCTCTCTCGTGTGTGTGTTTGCTTATATTACAGTCAAAACAATAACAAAGCCAGTGGTGTATAAATCATGCCCCCAAAAATTCTTGGGGGATAAATTGGCTGCACGTAGAACAAAGATGACCAGACCTTATACGAGTGGTCCCATATGACTTTTGTCGTGGTCACGGAAACTTGAAAACTTACTGCGGGCATGAGAGGGTTAATGGTGCCTCTGTGGAATTTGAAATTATTAAAGTAAATTTTAATTTATTTTATTTTTTTCATGTCTTTATATAATTTTATTATTATTAGGTGGCAGTTGCACAAGTATGTCTAGGCGGACTCCTCCTGCCAACAAATCTTCGGAGGAAAAACCTGGGGGCGGTCCCGGGTCGCCAAGAGTTACCCTTCGTTTACCTAACACTGTTGCACGGACACCAGAGAAGCCCAGACAACACGACACCAAGTAAGTCCCACACATAATGATGATGAGTCTGAGTGTGAAGGATTACTGTACCAGAATTAACAAGAGTTTTAAGTCGTGTGTAAAGAGAGAGTTGCAGTGAAATGATCCTCTTTTGCCATTTAGATTAATTTGTGTGTGTGTCAACCCTTTGGCTGCTACTCTAGGCTGTAATATAAGGAAATTTATACCCCTTGATCTTGGTGTATGAATTTTGTTGGAGGGGCTTCTGAATTCATACTTTTGATTCCTGCATCACTCGGCTTGTCCTGTCTTCTCATGTGCAACTCATATTTTATAATATTGCACTGCACTTTCTTGTAACTCTGTAAGTAAGGTGGCCCTTTTTTTTTTCTTTTTTCTTTTTTTTTAAACGGTGATTAGCCCACCCGAGCATCAGGGCCTGGGGGGCGAAAATATAATAATAATATTTAATAATAATTAATAAAAATAGATAAAAATTATAACTCAAAAATAAAAATAACTAACCATAAACAAATACACAAACGAAAAAATAAATCTTAGAGTGAGAACCGATATACAGCATGTTTTGTTGTCAATAGTAAGAGAAACAATTGAAACCCTGCAATTGTGTGTAAATGAGGCAGAAAGTCAGATCAGCAACCTGGGACTTGGTCACAATTTTTGTGATGCCATATGGCAGCAGGGTCTACCATAGACAACACAATATGCTTCCAATATCTTCCCAGGCAGTAGTACCTCCCTGTTTGGTAGCTGCCTACTACTTCTTTACAGTATATATGGAGTGAGGATCTCCTTTATATACTGTTGAGGTCTGAATTTTGAATAACTATCACTTTTAATGTACACAGTAGTTAAATGCTATACTGTATAGGTAAATGGTAGTTTATGCAATTATAATCACCATAGATAGGTAATTGAGAGGATCAGTTTGAAGAGGGGTATACTGTACTGTAATAGAAAGAGAACGTTTGTATTTGTAATGGTTTAATTGGTTATTGTGAAGGGCACACTTGAGGGGTTTGTGCTTCATAAGAGTTTAATGGTTAACAACTTGCTTTCAGGAACATAATGGAGAGTAGTGAAGATGTTTATGAGTTTAAATGTAGCAAGGATGAGGGAAGAAGCGAGGAAGAAGAAGACAAAGGAGCTGGGACAGTAAGAACAGAGGGAGGGGCCACAGAAGAAAAGGGAGATAAAAGGGGAAGAGAACCAGAGCCTGAAGAAGATGAGGAAGCAAGAAAAAAGAGAAGAAAAGAAGATGTTAAAGAAATTGCCAAGGGAGTAGGAAGAGGAGGAGGCCGACCAACTGGTATGTTTTGTTGTAAGATGTTATTACTTTTATTCCACGTAAGGATTTGATAAAGTTTTCATTTTCATATTGTGTCAACGCATGCATTGTCGTCGTCATCATCACCACCATTTTCCACAGTTTCGTGGGTTAACCATGATTACAGGACGGCCTGGTGTCCTAGTTTCCATAAGCAAAGCCATTTCTTTTATAAGCTGATCTCAGCCAATTAGAGTTTCAAGTACACAATACTGTAAAGAAAGCTAGAAACCTACAGTACATGTACAGTATCCTCAATAATCACGGGACCCGATAATCGCTGATCTGGCTTATCAAGGTGTCCTCAGTTGCTTATCACCTATTGATCTGGGTTATCTCGGAATTATCGTGGGACAGCGGCGGGTCTACGAGAGCCAGCTGTAGCAGTGACTGCCAAGAGATGGCAACACTACACATGGCACCAGCTTCCAGTGACAGTATTTGCTTCCCCGCACTGTTTTGGTCAGTGTTTGAAGATGGTTTCCTGTTCCATGCTTGTTTTTGGTGCAATTTTTGTAACTTATGCTCCACCATGGCACCTGTGAAGAGTGTTAAGGTTCCTGATCCAGCCAAGCGACGAAGACGTGTGTATTCTCTGGTTGAATGTTCCGATGTTCCCAACAAGGATAAACATCCGCTTGGCCACACATCTTTTGCGTTTTATCACTTTTTTCCACTCCACCTCTCTAATCACTCCCACCTTTCTGCTTTCACACTCCATAATTAAAAATTTCTATAGCATAATGTGGAAGGAATATGACTTTGTTCATTTATACTTACACTCAATTTTGTGGGTAGACATCAGGTGTTCAGTTGTGTCTGGCAGTGCTGCAGCCAGTGTTGCCAAACAAACTGATTGACACATCATCTCCTCACCACTTAACACAATTTCCCCCTCCACCACCAGCTCCATGATCACCAACATCACCACCTGAATCATAATTTCAGTGATGGATTTGCTTTAGCCAGAGCAGATTAGCACGATATTCCACCCACTTCCCCCTCCCTCCCTCCCTCCCTCCCTCCCTCCCACCCACTGTATCTCGTTCTACTGTGACTGTCATTCATGATACAGTACTGTACATTGTTATTCATTAATTAGTAAAGATATGTTACTGGTCAGTTAGGGATTGTATCTTTTGAGTCGTGGGATGAAAAAAAATTTCCCCCTTATGTTATGTGTTTTGATGTGTACGGTTTTGCTTATTATGGTAGTTTTCTGGGACCTAACCCCTGCGATTATTGAGGATACATGTATAAACATTTGGCTGCAGTTATGAGGGAAAGCCATTCTTATGCCTTTCATATTTTAAATGAGACATGATTTTCAGGTATAATTTTTTTAATAGAGATTATAGAAATGAATACAAGCGTATTGATGTCCAAATTGTTACATAATAAGCCTATTTAGTTTATACACTTCATTTATATTTGAGAAACTGACTTTTTGTGGAATTGTAGCAGAATATTATTATTGTTATTATTATTACTATATTCCAGTAGAACTTCGATGAATTGGATTCATTGGGGCAGATTCCCATTCTGAAAAATGCTAAAGTAAGAAAAAAAGTGAATTTGTGGGGGGGGGGGGATCTAGACATATCATGAAAGAATCAACTTTAAAAAAAAGAAAACCACACTCAACACCATGAGTCATTTGGTTACTAAGGGCAAACAGCTGATCATCTTAGTTCCTTTACCACTCATGCTTACCACATCATCTCTCTTCAGCACTTAGTAAATTATTGCAGTACTGTAGTGTATTTATCATCACATAATATGTAGTGTATTTATTAGCACTTAATAAGTAATATTGTGGTGTACTGTACAGTATTATGCATCTGCATATACCCTGGTTTATTCATTAATCAGTGTTCTAGGTGTACAAGTAGCCAAATTGTGCCATCATGTATCACTCAAAGGTAGTAAATAACGTTAGGAAGGAATCTTCATATACAGTGTGTTACAGTCACCTTTTTGTAAACTTATTTGCTGAAAGCTCTATCACAAATGCATCTTAAGTATAGCATATTCTTTTATTTTCAAGTAAAATTACAAATTACATTTTGTATATTTTCTCTATTATTGAATATGTTACATTAATCATATTGAACCATACACCATAAGAAGCTGATCATGGAGATTATAATACTGAATCAATTAACCTGGTGAATGCAGCAACACCCAATGAGATGAATGAATTTTAACCTCTCAAAAATACTGTGTATATAGTTTGACTCCCTATATTTTGCATACAAATTTGATGAGAAAACTTTAAATTTACTCAAATATACAGTGGGGTATGCTATAACGTTTCTAATTGGTTCTAGAACCTTGTTCGTTATAGCATTCGTTTGTTATAGGAGTAATCCATTCCAGGCCCCCAAATACAACCACTTAACACTGAAAAATATAATATAAAATTGTAGAAATTGTAAAAAAAAGTGCATAAATATGCATCTAAACCCCTGAAATAAAGAATATCATTAATACTTATAATGTAAAAACAATAAATTAGTAAAAAAAAAATATATTTTTTTTTAAATGTTCGTTGTAGGAGTTTCGTTCGTTATAGCATTCTCAATTGTATAGGTAAAACCGTTCGTTTAGGAATATTCGTAGTACGATCCGTTCGTTATAGCATACCCCACTGTATATGGTATACTGTACACATCTACTTTATCTCACACTGCACAAGGCCATCTATGCTACACAGTCATGTACACATGTTCTAGAATCTAGAACCTTACCTACATGTGTTCACACTATAAATATAAAACAACTGAATTTATTGAAAGTACTGTACTGTATATCATTTTGAATTGGATTGAAACAGTTTATTTAGAATGGTTGTTTTATTTGAACTAATTTATTATGAGCTTAAATAAGCCAATCTGTGTTAGTGCAATATGCTGGGTGCTGTTGTGAACATTTGTACCTCCCTGCTGATATGGTCGTCCAAAAAAGCCGATTCCTTCCGAGTAATTAGTCAGAGTGTTTAAGGTGTGTGTGTGTTTTACAGGGAAGTGTGTAACAGGATATCATGTAATCTTATATACAGTACTGTATATATAAGCAGATGCTACACAAATGACAATTTCCTCATTTTATTAAATTTATAGTCATATGTTTACAATAATAAATATTATGTAAGTATAATAAGACCATTGTATTTATAATAAAACATGATGAGGGACCCACTGGTGGGCCACTTGGCATGAAATGTGTTAAGTAGTTAATTCTGAAGCTTAAATCCCCCAACCCCTTTGTTAAGTTACCTGCAACAAATATAAGTTATACCATACTTCACTTGCTTCTGGCCCTTTGAGTTTGTCATATAGCTATCATGTGTGTTAACCCATCTGCTGGAGCTTGTGATAAATATTCATGCAAAGTATGCACAATTTCGGTAATTATTGATGACTGATCCCTGGCGATTTTTCATAGAACATGGTTGTAAAAACTTCGCAATTTTATGTGTTCTACAGTGGATACTGTCATAGTTTGTGCAAATGTGTTAAAAAGTGGTTATTTATAATTTTAACCTAACCTTGGTTGATAAGAAAAGCAAGCAGAAGAAGCGGTGTTAGAAGACCTCAACAACCTGTCCTAACCAAAGAAATCTACCTAGCCCCCCGACCCCCAATATATTAAACAGAAAGAGCTTACTATTATATGGTATAATCTAATTTTATGCTGTTTGTGGATGTGAGGGCTGCAGCTCAGACCCTTGCAGCTCATAGAGTACATTGAGGTAGGCCTCGATCGGAGCACGGCACAGGGGAGTGTTTTGAAATACAGTTCAGGGTATGTCAATATGAATGGCCGTTTACATCCGGGGATGAGAAGTTACCATCTCATTACTGATGAGAAGACAAAGTGGTGTACATCTGGGCACCAAACAAAGAATTTGCACAGGAAGTGATTATCATATCAACTTGCTGATGAAAATGTCGTAAAAAAAAATAAACAAAAACAAATAACGCGTTGGTGGGTTAGTCGTCAATATTAACCCAATTTTCACCAAAAAATTTAAGTTCTTCAAAAATAAAGCATATTTCCATCTTCCAAAAGTATAGATTTTCTTGCAGGCTAATGGTAAATGAAAAAAAAAATCACTTTTCTAGTTTGATTAAGCTTTTGTGGTTCTGGATTACTAGGAGATGGAGGGAAATATACTTCCTCCATAGCGGCTCTCATGTACTGAGCCAAGACTAGGAATGCAAGTGTGGTGTAGGGGGGCCTAGAACCCTACACTCTTAGTTTATAAATGTGTCACTTGGCTCTCAATTTTAAGAATTGTTATAAAAATCTTGGCAGCAGGCTTAATTATGCATATCAACTGGCTTTTCACAGCTGTAGAGTTAAGGTGGGTCTTTAATAGCTATAACATATACTGTAATGTAGATAGATAATAAACTAGAATATATTTACTGTATTTAAGTAGAGATGAATAATGACTACCCTGCAATGAACTCTATAACAAAGTTCTGTAGTTTGTATTTATTTCACTATGAACTATTTAAGAATTGTAAATTCATATATTCTTACCAGGGACTTCAGACAAGAGTGTAAAGTCAGGAGGTCGTGGATGTACTGGGAACAATAGTGGAACTGGTGGAACAAAACAATCATCTGTAGCAAGTGTCACGGTAATTGGGGAGCGCAAAAGTCCAATGGGATCTGCTGCCAATAGCCCCAAACCTCCAAGCACCAAAAACAGTGGTGAAAGTAGTGATACTGAAGATGATGTTAAAAGTGAATCAAGCTCTGGTGCTGGACCTAAAGTTCCTCCCCTGAAGATTGTGCTGGGAGTTGGTGCAGAACAAGAACCCAATACTCGAAATGGCAAGAATTCTAGTAATCGTCAGTTGCCATATGTAGTCAATACAAGCTCGGGAGAAGAAAAAGAGGTTGTACCAGAAGGGAAAGAGCTCATTTCTACCGTTAAGGTGAACTGTGATGTACGTGGCAAATTTTTTTGTGCGTTTGTAGGATTAAGCATTTATTTCAGTATGTACTGTACATAAACTTTTTTTTTATTAACTGTTCTAGTAGGTACAGTATAAGTAAATGAAGTGTATATTAACAATAACAATAACTTTATTGTGATTATTTGTGTTGCTAATTTTATTATTACTGTGCTTGTAAATATAAGAGTTTGTTGTTTGCTTTTCCCCAGTACTCTACTGTAATAATATGAACATTCGATTGGTAAAAATATATAGAAACTTGATTTTTTTTATTTTTTTTCATTGTAATTCATTGACTTAGTGGCATAGCTGGGGTTGTTTATGTTCCTCACAACATGAATATGAGACTGTACGTATATTACATTTATAAAGAAATAAACTTTTTATAGCTCAATAGAATTCATGAGCTCACAAGTACTGTACATTGGTGTGTGTAAATGATTTTCCTTTTTCTCTTATTTTAGGTGGAGGATCAAAGTAACTCAAACAACAACTGTGGCAGTAGCTCTGGTAGTGAAAAGGGCAGTGGCACCAGAATTACTAGATCCCAGCGAGGAGGAAACTCAAGTTCTGCGGAAGAGTCTACTTCAGGTTGGACTTTAAATCATGCCAGTACAGTACTGCTTATTATAGGGAATGTTAGGATTTAACTTGAAAGTTTGATTGGGAGTACTGAAAGAACTGACAGTACTGTGCATGTTGAAATGAATTTAAGATGAGACTTGATCATCATATGAACCATACTCTGAGATGAGCTCTTGGACAACTCCTAACTGCCGCTCATTCTATCATTGGCCTGCATTGACTCACCAATAAAAAATTAATTAGAAAGTTAATGTAAATCTCCTATACAACATTAAATCCACAGTCAAGTGTCTTGAGAAAAGAGAATAATGAGAATGTATGTATCGATGTGCAGTCAGTAATGGGATCATATTCTTCCAGCCTCAACCTGTACAGTTAAAACTGAACCATCAGTGAAAGTAGAGGAATCCTCGCGTCCTACCACAAGTATGGATGATGCAGTTCATCCACGGAAGAGAAAATTAAAAATGAAAGAGCCTGAAGCTGAACCTCCCATTGTCTCTTTAGTGGATCAACCAATGAGTAACTGTTATGAAACATTTCTCAATATTAGGAAACAGGTAGGTGTCACATTTGGTTTAATTCTATTCCATGCTACTTCTTTTATTTTATATAATAATTTAAAGGAAGTGAAGAAAGGGGTGTGTTTATATTGAGTGACATAGACATGAAGATTATATCAAGACTTGCAGTGAAAGTAGTGGTGAGCAGAATAGGTTTTTGAGGGACAATTTTAAGTCCAATTTGGGAAATGTAATGTTTAGAGAACATACATTATGTTAAATTGAGGCCATCCATATTTAGAGAACGTTTTTCTTTTTTTAAGACCAGCTCTCCGTGCTGTATTTTGCTCGAGTAATGAATAACAAGTGAAAAGATACATGGTTTTTGTAAGGTGTAATCATTTCTTTTTGGGGGGTCCCATATAGATTGAGCGCCGGCGAGAGAATTTACGACCAGTGCAGCCAAAGCCACCGCAGGGATTCAAAGACTACTTAATGAACCGCTGTTCGTATGTGTTAGCTGGGAATGCTACATCAAGGTTATCGGTTCCAATTATACCCCCTCCAGCATCACTTACTTCGCTATTAAAAGAACTCTTTAATGATCAAGAAAAAGAACGTTATCGCCTCAGACTTCAGGTACGTAACATTTGTTCCTTGTCCTTCGCTTAGATATTAGGCAGGCTTTCGTGTGCAATAAATTCATGCATCTTCTAAATATATCATATAGTACATAATGGATTTTGATAATTGTGATGATAGTGGTGAAGCCTTTAGCAAGCATCTCCTTTATTGGTGTTCAAATATGGGAGTTCTGGTAGTATCATAAACCACTTAGTGTAATATAAATGTCTTTAAAATGTGTATTAAGTGTGCAAACTGTTTTCAACAGACTCGTATACAGTGAACCCTCAGTCGTCCTTATTAAATGGGGAAAGGAGGGTTCGGGTTAGCCAAAAGTTTGGACAAGCTGGATTACATTATAAGTATAGAAAAGATGCATGGCAAATTTAATGAAGCATAATAAATTTATCAACCAAATTAGTACTTAATGTATTTCCCACCGTAAAAGTTAGTCAGTCTATCTTTTTTTTCTTTTTTTTAATCACCCTATGTCTTATATGCCAAAGGTTAACCCCAGGGGATGCAGTTGTCCAGATGGGAATAATACCAAGACTCCCTCTGTATGGTACAAATTGCCAAATCCAGCAACCTTGGAACTCTAGATTGCTTTTCATACTAATTAAGAATTTCTAACCATATTTAAACATTTACTTTTGAAAAACTATTACTTATTTTATCTCAAAAATCAATTCATTTGGGAAGGCAATAAATGTACTGTATAGTAAATGAGGATAATGGCAATGGTAGTGACTGACATGACATGCTTAAGTTCTGTTACTCGGGAGCTATATGTTTTCACATGAACTTTCTTTTGTAAACTATTTAACAAGAATAATGTAAAGAATATTGATACTACTCTGTAAAAGAGAGAGAAAGATGAACAGTAGAAAAGAATATAAGAATAAGAAAGAGGAAGAGTTTGTAACCGAAAGAAGAAGGGTAAGAAACAGTGAAAAAAACAACACTTTATATGGTTAACCCTTAGGCCCCGGGTGACGTTCCAGAACGTCCGACTACCGCGCCCCGGGTGACGTTCCCCCCGCGTTGGGGGTACTGCCAGCAGCACCCTAACCCAGGGCTTAAGGGTTAAATGTTAGAAAAGGGTAATAGCTTTGTGGAAACTTGCTTAGAGCTCCTCACAGGTGGCATATAAATAACAACTGACACCATGTAGTCACCAGGCTAGCTGGGTATTCTGGATCAGCTGAAGCCCTAACCACCGAGGGTTCACTGTATACAGTATATCTTTATGATCTTTTATGTAATTTCTATTTCCATTTTTGGTAATACTGTTTCATTGTTAATCTTTATTTGCAGCACCTTATAGAGAAGGAGAAGCTGGTGCTAAGTGTTGAACAGGAAATCCTTCGTGTTCATGGCAGGGCTGCCAGGGCACTTGCCAATCAAGCACTCCCATTTTCTGTCTGTACATTTCTGAAGGATGAAGAGGTGAGTACTTGAATATATAGTACTGCTATCCAGGGCAGGGATACTCAAAAGGTGATAAAAAGTTATGATCTGCAGGGTGGTTGCAAGTGAGATGAGACTAAGGAAGCTGTGTCTTGCCTACGATGTCTGTTATTACCGCATACTCAAAAAGAAATTAATTATGTCATATGGTGGTAACATCTTGGCCACGAGATACGACTCGGTCACAGTCGCCGATCTATGTCATGGTCTGTTTACCAATCCCAACACAGTTAACAGTTACTGGGGGTGGCTGCACAACCAATCACGACACTAGCATGTCGGCTGATATTGTCAACACGAAGATGGAAGACACTGGTAATGTTGTCTCGTTGCCAAAATCAAAGAGAAGAAGACCTCTTTGAAGAGGTGAGGAAAGGTAGGCAAATTTTCCTCGGGAAGCTGGATAATACCAACAGGGTCAAGACCAAAAACAGTGCCTGGCTCGCGGTGGTAGAGGCAGTGAATGCTGCTTTTAAATAAACCAGACGAGATAAAGAAAGTATTGACCTATAAACTGAGTTATCAACATGGTAAAATTATTATTATTACATTATCATAATTATTTTATTCATCTTCCAATAATTGTATAGACAATCCCTTCAGAAGCCTTTACTTTGCATTCTACATATTTGAATATACACCTGTAGTGGCCCATCCCTTAAACATATTTCGTGATGTAGGGGAAGTCGGGCAAAATTTCTACTTGGGTAATGACCTTACTTGGGGTCAATCATGTGGTATCTCCAATTACACTTAGAAAACATCACTGCTGTAGAAGCGTGAGATCTCCTTGTTTGGTGTTGTGTATGTGGTCCTATCTCCTTGCACAACCGTATAATTTCTTGGCAAAGAAATCGATATTGACGAATCAAAACTTCATCTCTTAACATGCAAAGGATCCAGCGGATCCTGTATCATCTTTCTCTGCGCAGGGTAGGGCACGGCCGAACACATATGCTGCTACGAGCTCCTTGAACACCATGTAGTCTGTCGGCGGTGTCATCTGCACAAATGCAATTGCCTGGATACAGCGATTTATAGTTATTTATGTACCTTTTTACCTTATTTTGGGGTTCTATTAGCTCTTACTACTACAGTATATACTTTCCCTTGCAACTCTATATTTCAGTTTATACTTTCAATGTATTTTAAATGGTTGTAATAATGCTGATGAGGATGGGCCATCAAAGCTTACGATCTCACTTATAAAGCCTGTAAAGGCCTGGGACTTTGGGGATAGGAATCCCTTACCAGACTAATCAAGTTCTTAATTAAGGAAAGTCAAGGACCATGGTTTTCTGAGGAATAACAAACAACCGTTTGAGATTGACATCTCTTTACTATAAAAAATATAACACAAAACTCTGACACCACTCGACAAACATCAAATAACAACGGGAGTCAAACAATTAAGTCAAGTCAACAGTTAATGGAGTCAAACAATTAATGGAAGCAAACAATAAAAGGGAGCAAACAATTAATGGGAGCCAGCAATTAATAGAATCAAACAATTAATGGGAGTCAACAACTGATAGAATCAAACAATGAACAGATATTTCCTACGGCAGTGGCCCTGGGGGAAGGTTCTGGAACACGGTGATCCACACTCGGGGTAGGGAAGCGTCCATTCGACTCCACACTCGAGCAACGTCTTGAAATGGCAGGAGAACACTGGGGCACAGACGGAATGAGATGAACTGACGGTCGTGGTATGCGGTAGTGGTATATGACCAGAGAATTGACATTCGATAGGTGAAGGTCTGGGAACACAGCCCACGAGTCCAGGGCCTATGATGAGATCACAGCCAGAATTTGACGGACAGCGGGGTAGCTAGATAGTGACTGTATGGCGGCTGTGTTGAATCTGCCGGTGACCCAGATAGTCGCTGCGGTTCTCACCTCTGTCCAACCGTCCCAAGTGTCGTCCGCACCAGCAAACGAGAGAGTTAGCAGCGGTAACGAGCAGGAAGATCGTTTCCGCCCTTACAAAGCCTGAGCAGTCATAACTAGGGTTGCCATATCTGAACATTAAAAAAAGAGGACATTCCCGAAGACATTCCCCCGGCCCGGCACACACTTTGGCACTATGTAACCTTGAAGCAACCGTGACAATTAATTTTGCATATTTGCATAACATTTATATATATATATATATACACACACACACACACACCAGTATCGGTGCACTGTATTGCATTGTGTTTTTAATGTAGGCTAATATACAACATACATGGTATAGAAATCTTAAAAAAAAAATTACCTTTGCTTAAGGCTGAATATCTTCATTCCCTTAGCTGCAGTCTTCTTCCCCCATTATGTGTGTGCCTTGATGTGCCCATGCATACTTTTCTGTAGATCGGATCTTTTTCAGTATTGGCTGATTGCTCTTTAGAAAGGTATAGAAGTCACTGCAAGATGTTTCTTGGAAGTTGTACTGTACAGTCAGAATGCCTTTCATTGTTTCAACACTCAATTTGTTCCTTTCCTTTGTCCATTGACTTTGTATCAGTGAAAAACTCTTTCTACATTTGCATTGTGAGATGATATAGCAAAGAAGAATTGTGCAATTCTGAGTGGCATTCAATGTTCTTTGATTTTTCAAAGTATCTGAACCACTTTTTATGTGTTGGCAGATTACTAAATTCTTCATCACTCTTGTAATTTTCCACAAACTGCTTCAGGTTACTAACTTGGTCAAACTCTGTCACTGCAGGTTAAGGAATGGCCAACCACCGGTCACCGTCATAGTTGTCAAAACACATAAATAATATAGCGAAAGTGGCTAGATTATGGTTGAAAATTGCTAAAATGCCTTAAATGCAGGACAAGAAAAACAAATGCTACAGTGTAAAAAAAGCCATAAGAAAAAAATGGAATACTTTCAACATTTCATTTATGGCTAATAGCACTAAATACAAAAAAAATAATAATGCACGTGGCTGAAGAACAAGGAAAAGCAGTACATGGCACTACATGCTAGCCCAAAAACTGCTAGCAGCTAAGTTGACAACACCGTATAGGTGTGCACGTGATTTATCAGCTGAAGAATACTGAACGAGATCTCTACGGTTTCCACCTTCTCTCTCTCTCTCAGTCTCTCTCTCTCTCTCGTCATTACAGTTTCATGCTTTTGTCCATGGAGAAAATGATGCAAGCTGAAATTCCAGACTTTTGAAGAATTTTAAAAATTACTTCCGGATTAAGATTTTGAGACCTAAATGGAGGACATGTCCGGGAAAATACTGACGCATGGCAACCCTAGTCATAACTTCGTGTGACCATACGTTATCAAACATGGCCGAGCCCGTGGCCCAATTTTGTTTTTGAGTATCGAGTCACGGCAAAAAATAATATCTTGGCTCAAGTTATGACCAACTCTGGGAGATAGAATGTCTTATCTATTTTTGAGTATCCCGCCCCAGAATCAAATGTGTGATGGTGATGTTATAGTTTATTAGTTTAATTTTTTTTTTTTTTTTTGGGTGAAAACAGTTATTTTGGGGGTACTAATTGAATATTGAATCTAATGTATATATTATTTCTTCTTTAGTATACAGTACAGTATAACCCTCTTGTAATGTGCATACAATACTGCTTGGTCCCACACTCTATATATAATGGTAAGATTAATAAATATCTCATCCCTATAGGTTTACAACATAATCTCACCTGAGCAAGAGAAGGATGGTAATGCTCGTTCTAGATACAATGGCAGGTTGTTTCTTTCATGGCTACAGGATGTTGATGATAAATGGGACAAAATTAAGGTATGTGTTTCAGATGTTATTGAAAAATTACAGTATCCACAACTTTATTTAAAATTTATTTCATTAGAAATGGAGAAAATGTCAGGTAGATCAGTTTTCTCTGCTTGTTGATAATGGAGATAAAACCAAGGTGAGAGAAAATATTAAATATGTGCAGAAAAGATGTTAAGTAACCACTACATTTCAGGACTGCATGTTTCTTTTTGGGTTAAGTAGAAATCATATTTTGCAGATGTGTAAAATGTTCCTTTAAAATAAAGAAATAATCAGTGATGAGAAATCAGGTTTTATAGCCATGGAAAATTTCCTTTTAGATAAAGAAGTAATATATTGACATGTTAATATTAGTTCATCTATTTCATTTGTTGCCATATTCTACATGAAAACTGCCCTTCTTTGAGACTGGTGTTATTTAGAACCTTTTCCTTTTATTTGAGCCACCCTCAAGAACACGTTAATTTTTCCAAGAATAATTTGTATTGACTGACAAGTGAAAATGACCAGAAAGGGGAAGATATACTTGATGAGCAGCAAATATATGCAAGCTGAAAAGTGGATGATAAGAAGCAGGAAGGAACATGTAGACACTGATAAAGGAATTGAGAAAAGGGAAATTAACTCATGATAATTTTGTGCAATTCTTTTATTGTAAATCCCATGTCTGTTAATTTAAAAGTTTTATTTTTAACAAGCGTATTTTCCATTACACCATTAACACAACTAATTTCACCAGGAATTTATGGTGTTACGGCATCATAATGAGGCAGAATCACTTCATGCGGTTCAGCGAATGGACTGGGAGTGGAAACTAAAAGAGTTGGGAGATTGTGATGCAAATTCCCGACCACACATAGATGAGCTTCATGTCCCTATGGTACATGTCTCGGATGATTTTGATCTTCTTCCAGAATGAGTAATTTAGGTAAATTTTTGTTGAATTTATTTTTATCAACATTACACATCTTTTTGAGCTTTGAGCAAGACTTGTGAGGTACATTTTTAGGCAAGAATAATGCCTATAACCTAGCAGTCACATGCTCAATCTTATCTGGGCATAGGCAGGAATGAATCTTCAAAGGAAAGGTTCTTAGAGTTGGGATTTTTCTCTGGCTGTGATATTTGTAAGAGGGTTACAAATTGTATATTAATCCTCATTCAAGGGTGGTGAAGATTAGTATTCCACTAGCCCAGATCTAGTTCAAATTTTGCTTAAGGAGCCCTAGAAATCTATATTTACTTCATGTTGGGAATGTATTGTGTAAATTTATTACAATTTGTGATCCTTTCAGTTTTCAGTCATCGATCTTCCTTGACACTGCTGTAGATTAAGGAATTTTGTGTCAAAGATTTAGGACAGGAAAAAGGTCTGTGTTTCTGTGATATACAATTGACTTTAATAGTATCTAGGGCATATTCAAGGTTATTGATACATCCCACATTTGGGGTGTGCATTAGCTCTCCAAATACTGTATATTTTTTTTTTGTAAGTGTTTCTGTGCAGTTCTTGGCTGCTACCATTGAAAGGTGTTTAATAGTGATGTACAAGATGTTTTAAGAGAGTCAAAATATTAGATAATATTGTGATTGAATGTGAATGTGCACTAGTTGTATAGTTGGAGCTTAAGGCATTGGCACTTCCAGCATACCTGGTTCTGCATGAATGTATTTCACTTGTCAGTTTGCTAAATGTTTATGATTGATGTTTCACTTCCTACCAGAAAGATTATATTCTGATATATGTTGCATTGTTATTGAAGAAAAATTACATAAAATTTTCATTGGAATGGCTTGTATATTGTCTGTGGTGATGTGTGAAGTGAAAGTTTTATGAATGGTTTGGTAATGTTTATTGTAAAGATAATCATGATCAGTCCACAAAAGAAACTTGTCAAATAACAATAAGTAACTTGTAAGATTATTACTTGCTCAATTTATTATAATCTATGCTAAAGCTTCATAACTGAAACTAAAGTACTTAGTTTTACAAGCCCATTAATAAAAATTTTAAAAATAGAAAGGGAACCTAATAATACATGTACCATGTGTTGGATATGTTTTAACACAGAAATGGTAACTTCATTCTAAGTCACCCAATAAAAATTATATCAATTTTGTTGCCCTTTTCACTTGCCATATTAATAATTACAAATAAGGAAAGAAGAGGAATGAGAAAGTGTACAGTATGTTCATTGAAGATGAACAATAAACTACTGGATGAATGATTGTTAAAAAAAATGTATTAAAGGACATCATGGTGAAGATATACTGTTGAGGTCTCTGAAAAATAGGAATTGAGTTTGAGAAAAGGGTATTGACACTTATTTTATTCTTATGGTAATTTTCATATACAGGAGAAAAGGTGTACAGTATATGCCAAAAACTTTGCCATTTTATCTCTAAATCTCGACACACTGATATGGGCATGGGGTCAAAATATGTAACTGTTCCTAATGTTTTGTAGAAGTGTTATTTGTTTTACAACTTGAAGTACTACCTGTAATTTTTTTAATGGCATTTGTTGTGTGTTATGTAGTAGCTATAAGATAGAAAGATGATATAAATGTGCCTTCAAATAAGAACTGTGTGTTGCAAGTGTGTCAATATCACTTCCCGCTTGCTCCGGGCCACACGCAGCAGCTTTAAACAAGACATCCTCCATCACTCGACACTGCTTCTCAACACCCCAGACAACTCTCCAACAATGCTACAATGAAAGTACATTTTTCTGATCTTTTTCTTTTATTAACTCATTTATAAGATGACATTGGATGTTAAAGAAAATTAATAAAAAATGCCATATTATGCCTGCATGGGGCATTTGGCTGTTGATCATGTTTCAGTGCATTTATTAATTGGGATAACTGCCATGCCTAATATCCAAGAAGTCACCATATGGGGTAGTACAAGCACCTAAACTCATTCTGTATTTTGCTACAGGGTAGGTACAGCATCTATCTAGAGCAGTGGTTCTTACCTGGGGGGAGGGAATTTTGAATTTTCAGGGGGGGGATGAAAGCTTGGTGGAAGTGGTTTCTTGATTCAATATACAGTACAGCTCCTCGACTTACGGCGGGGTTAGGGACCCAAATCCAGGTCGTAAGTCGAAAATGCTTAAATAATATATAGAAAATCTAAAATGGGTGTCTCTTTATCTTCTCAGCACCACAAAACTCTCACTTTTAAGCTTGCCAGCCATTTTAAAGTGAATTACAATCGAAAATTTTGTCAGTACACAGCGCAATCAGTGAGGTTGGGACTCGAAAATACGTAATTTGACAAAATTTTGGTACGACTGAGGCGGTCGTAAGTCGGGGAGTAGCTGTAATTGCCAATCATTTATAAATTCAGTTATGCACACAACACTAATGACAGCTAATTGTCAAGATAATAAGTGCGTGTGGATGATTAAAGATAATGCTACCATAAATGAGACAAGCACTCTTAACACTGGATGAATACCCAATATGTTTACCTTGGGTGGGCTGTAAAAGTTATAAGAAGATACAACTTTGCTCTTTCTGACCAATGCACCATCAGGTTTGAGCTGGGGGGCATTGTTTTAGTTCACATATAGTAGTTTTTCTCAAATGCTCTTGATTTTCAGTTGATTATCCAATGAATTGATTTCTTGCCTATTGTTAAGCTCGGTTCCCTTTAATCATATTTGATGCAATTCAAATTCAAATCTAATCAGTGCATTGATTTCTTGTCTATGGTCAACATGTATTTGTGTTCTAATACTTTCTTATTGCTTTGTTATCAAATGTTATGATTCTTTGACTGTGAATGTCATGTTCTCTTGCTTTTGAGCTGAAATTATCCAAAGAATTCGGGATTTCTTTTAATAGTAGCCTAATATTTTATTTCAAATGCAAGTTTTTCCTTGGTTCCTTTTTGTATTAAATTTGAGTGTTGAGAGCAACATACAGTGTGCCCATTCTACAGTTCCTCCAAGGGTTCAAAAATGCTTGTTGGGAAAGAAGCATTACCAACCTTCCCAAGTATTTCAAATAAAGGTGTTGACCATTATACGATGTCTCTACAGTACAGTATATGCGATCGACCAGAGGATGCTTTGCATTGGAAGAAGCTATTCTTTGTACTGTATATAACATAATATGTACTGTAAATTACTAGTAAATGTGGGGAATAAATAAAAAGACAAAATAAAGCAATGGCAAACGTGTCACTATGCAACGAGCTGAGAAACCCCCCCACCGCCCACTGTGCTAGCTCCCACGCAGCTTTATTTTTGGTGGTTCATCTTCCTTCTCTTTATCATCATCATCAAAGTCATCTGCAGCCTCATGTACAGAGTCCACAATCTCCTCCTCTGTCAAGTTGTGGTATCCAGGATCATCCTCCAGCCAAGCCTCCACATCCTCAACTGTAGCATCCTTCTCTCCTGCTTGTAGAATAGGGTGTGTCATACGGAGGCGAATTTTTTTTTTTTGAGTTTGAAAAATCGGCCCATGGTATTAATGATGTAGTTCTATGTGCAGAATCATGTGATATCTTCAGATTTGAAAAGTTTTCATTTTTTGCTAGGTAAATTTTAACTTGAAATCTTATGAAAATTCTGTATTCCCACCCTTTTACCAACATCACTAAATAGCTTATTTAAAGTAAAGTAAATGTATCAGGTTAATTTATTAGGATGAAAATGATCAAGAATAGTGAAACGAATGATCTTGACACATTTATTAAATTTAATATTCCTTTAAAAAACAAAATCAAGTACAAAAACCGGTTTTACTACTACGACCCGGTGTTGCTGCACACCATAGAGAACATGTCTTTCTTGCTTCTGTTTCTACTCATCACCTCCCTGTTGACCACCTGAGCTCGGATGTAGCCTTCCCTCCTCTCCTGACTGTACACGTGACTGCTGGCCTCGCTCACTTGCTGTACACAACGCTCTATACTCTGGGTGTGCGAGGGCCAGGCAGGGACATGCATGGGGTTGTCCAGGAAAGCTCTGACTTGAACATTGGTGAGGCTGCAGGTAAGAGGGGGCTCACTGCCAGCCTGGATGTTATCCAGATCTATGAGATCAGTGAGGGTCTTGGCACCTAGATTGACTTCAGGAGTCTTCCTGACCCTGAAGGAATCGTCACCAACTGATTCATCATGCCCAGATCCTCTCATAAGTCTCATATCCAAGATCTTTTTGACTGCCACTCTTCTCTCCTCCTCATCCTTACTGCAGAGCATTGTCTGCAGAACTGCCTCGGGATGAGCATACCAGGAAGATCTCCTCACAGTCTGCTCCACAATCTGAACAACCTTCCTTGGCTGACTCTCAGGAGCTCAAGCTGGAAGAGAACATGCCTCGGACCTTCGGAGAACGATGACTTGACCTTGGTGTTGAACCAATTTGGCAAGTAGACACCACGATGAATTGGACAATAAGTCTCAGGTTGTGAAGCTGGTCCCTTTCAGTTTATGATGAGCGACCCAAATTCTGCAGAACCTGAGAGCCAAGTGTGAGACTGGACCTATCTGCAGGTAAGCAAGTCTATCAGGCATGACCCCAGTTTTGATGGCACTGCAAATCATGTAACCATAGTACTGGTCAGTACTCAGGTCGTCAATGACAGTATGTGCAAGCTCAACGAGTGGAGGGCCAACTGTGATTTTTTCAAAGCTCGGATTTATTTCTAACTCAGTGGCAGAGTCCAGCATCTTGCCAAGAGGACCAGACCATCTGTTGTTTGAAAGAGTCTTACCATCCAGCTCCTGGATCAGATGTCTGAGTGGCAACTCGTTGGTGTGGAGGTCACAAACAATCCAGACCAGCTTCCTCCCAATCTTCCGCTCTATCCACTGTATGACCCCTCCTTGCCACCCTGTGTTCGTGTTGGTGCTGTCCCCTCCAATGGCCTGCAGGGTCTGGTCTACGTTCCTCTCTCTGAGCCAGTTCACAATGTTATCTGCCACTATCTCAGCTGGTTTCCTGATGTCATATTTCTCTGGAGTGAAATGCCACAAATACTTCCCTCCTGGTTCACTGCAGCAGGAGTAATGTTCCTCCTTCACCATGGCAGGGAACAACTTGTCAGAATCTCCAACTTTCATGAACACTTTTGTGCCATCCCTTCTCCCATCAAAGAACAAACAATTGATTCCATTTTCTCTTATCCCCTTATCAAACTCCTCTTCTAGGTTACTGACAAGTTTCTCCTGAGCTCTCCTTACTTTGTTATGATCTATCACCAGGTGAACATCATCAGGTGTTATCAAACCACCGTCAATCCAGGCAGCTGTTGCTATCTCTGCAGTTTCTCTGAGACCAGTGTAGTCGCATGCTGGCCAGAGCTATGCTCGGGATATCTTTCCTATTTCGAATCTTATGCCTGGAAGGTTTGGGATCATTATTTTCTGGGTTAGGGACAAAGTCACCATTCTCCTGGTCAGCACTCGGATCAGCCATGGGGAAGTCATTAAACTCTGAATCAGCTTGACTCCAATCATCGGCCTTTTTTACCTCACCCTGGGCCTTCTCAAGTCTCTTTTCCTCGGCAACTCTCTCCTCTTCTGTCTCTCTGTGGCAGCCTCCTGTCTCTTGGACTCCGGAATATCTTGGCTAGAAATCATGAGAGCCCTTATACTGCCAGTCTTCTCTCTCTGTGCTTTGACAAATGCCAGTTCGATCACAGGACTCTTCAGTTCACGCTTGCAAATACAGGAGATGTGGGCCTCGGATTTACAGTCACGATCGCATCCAAACTCAGGACAGAGAACAATTGGGCACTTGCAAGTGATTATGTCAAATAACTGGTCCAGTTGCTTGGCAAAGCTGTCCTTAACTGCAAGTTTTCCTCTCCCAAGAGAGATATCTCTTGCCTTTTCCCAACTGGCTAGCAGTCTCTCACTAATCTTCTTCTGACTTGTTATGACTGGAGGCTTGAACTGAGCGTTAGCCAGAGTGTACTGTGCCAAGACAGCTTTGGTCATATCACTGGCAATGTCTTTGTTTGTGTAAGTTCTTTGGTTCTTTTCACTGATTTGCCTGATTAAAACACCGTATCTCAAAGCATCTCTCAATGTAGGCAACTCCGACTTCAGGAGCTCTCTCCCAGACCCAAGATAGTGACTGAGATGGCTGGATTTTTGGTTCCTCGTCCTGACACAAGCAGCCATCGCAAATATTATCAACTTATAAATGCATCAGAATGTGAAACAGAAAAAATATTGTTAGTTGGGTTGTTAAAGAATGAAGTCAGAAAGCAATGTTCACTATTTAATTGTAATGCACTAATGCAGCTGTACGTTAGATTTTCGATAAATTTCACGCTAAAATTTACCGAGCAAAAGGTTGCAAAATATTGAAACTGAAATTATTTTCTGTTTATATACACTAAAATCTACCAAAAAAGTGATGGGCCATTAGTTTTAGCTGATCTTCCCTCCTATGACACACCCTATTGTAGAAGGGTTCTTTGGCAGTCTTCTGATGTGAAGCCCTCAAAATCATGCCCCTCATCAATGTCATAGAGGAGCCTCTTCCAGGCATTGATGAGGGTTGTTGCCTTGACTTCTTTGGCAGAAGCAGCAAAATTAGAGAGCATGGACCAGAAGTTGTATAACTTCAAGTTTCTGAGGGTCCTCTGCCCTCTTGTGTCCACATGATCCTCACTTGTCTCTTCTACTACCATCACTTCATCCAAAAACTTGTGTTTTTTGCAGCATAAATAACACCTAGATCCATTGGCTGTATGACAGAGGTGGTGTAGTGGGTGGCAATGCCTGGCAACTGATCCTTCCATCCCTGCTACACAGTTTTTTAATGTTGAGATGTGAGGAAGCATTATCTAAGAGGATGATGGCCTTCACTTTATCAGCAGGGATTTTCAGATCTTCCACCCGCTTACGCCTGATCACCACAGCATGTTTGAAAAACCAGTCTGAGGTTATGGCTCCTGTAAACCATGCATTCATGGAGTTATAATAGTGGACAGGAAGCCTGTGCATAATGTCCTCGATTGCCTGAGGTTTCTTGCTCTTTCCTACAACCACAGGTGTAAGCATATGGTTCCCAGCATCTGGCACGCAGCAATTCAGACACTCACTCCTACCAGGCACATTTTTTTCACTTCTGGAGGCTTATGTATTTTCTGGTAAAGCTCTCCAATAGTCCAGTTTTGTCTGCATTGTACAGTTGGCATAATCGAAAGTTTACGGCTTCCATTAAGTCCTTCAACTTTTTCCTAAATGGTTCCACAGCATCAATATCAGCGCTGAACCAATCGCCACATATTTTCTTATTCATAATATTGTGGTGCCTTCGAAATTTAAATAACCAAACAGCACTTGCATGAAAATCCTTGACATAAGTTTTTCTAACGTTTCAGCAGCTGCTTGGATTTCCACAGCTATGAATTGTGTATGATAGATTAAAACTAGTACAAGTGTCTAAAGCCCTGCCATAGATGTGTGTTGGTTCATTATTACCTATAATTTGAACATCTTCATATGTGCTGAGAAGTGAGGTAAGTCTCCTACCATTGGTGTTAGTGGTGGGGTCACCTAATTTCTTGTCTAGTATTCAGGTCACCCATCAGGACAGTAGGCTGTGTGTGTAAAGTCTGGGAGATCTGTGTATTGAAGCTGATCTGAGGGAGCATAGGCATTTAGCACATTGAGTGTGGAGTTGCCCAGGTGGATAGTGATTCCATGGTACTGAAAGTTGGTAGCCTTTTTGGTTGCAAGAGGTATATGCAGTTGTGACTTCTTGACATACATTAAACATGTGTGAGTAGAACTAGGATCATAATACACATAATTGGGCAGACTGGGTGGGGTCTTATCATTAGGTGTGAGACACTCCTGCAGACACAATATCGATGTCCTTAGTCACCACTTTGTGGTGTAGGTCAGGGTATCGTTTTCTGAGGGATGAGATGTTCCAACTCACCACCTTCACCGCTCTGTATCTTTGTCTGGTATTAACACTGGTCATTATTTACTATATTCGGAAAGAAGCAAAAGGCACTGTATGATATTGTTTTTTCCCACATTGCCTGTTCCTTTGGCAGCCAATAGGCCTTTTAATCTTTTTGAAACATTTCTGGAACATGTACTGCTCAACAATTGTATTTCAGTGGCAGACATCACCAAACTTTGGTTACACTCGACATCACCATTTTCAGTTTGTGTTTGTTCCTCTTCACTGACCATGTTTTCTTCTGTGTGGACACTAGTTCTTAATGGATCTTGAGTTTCCACATCTGGTACTGACATTTGAATGTCTTCAGTTTGATTGCATTTTTTCCATAGCTGCTGCACTGTGTTGGTGGTGTCCTTTTTCTGTAGTGCATCACAGAGGCTGTTTAATATTTCAAATTGAGCTTTGAGTTCTTTAATTTCATTTCTCAAATCACTGAACTCATCACTTTGTGGGTGTTCATGGGGTGCATTGGCAGCTACCCATTGTGTCAGTATGTCTGTGTTGCCCCATGCTGATCTTCATTGACTGCTGGTGATGATCCTGGAGCTTTGTTGGTGAGGGTGGGCCAGGGGTTGGCTGTAGGGAGTACCCTAGCAGCAATAGTTTCTTGAGACCTGCCTGGGTGGCAAGTCTGGGCACTGAGGGGGTGTAGGAGCTCTGGGACAGTCAGGGTGCCATACAGGAATTCCAACTGTTTGCACCTCTGTTGAATGACACCCCGTTGAGCAACTGTATCTGCAAGCCTGTGTTGCATGTTGTCTTGAGCAGAGAAACCACACCACGGCTTGGTAGAGGTGCATAATCGGGCCACACGGCACCCAGTGTTGACAATTGTAACACCTCTGGGTAGGGGGTTGATAGAGCTACCTTCAGAGTTCGATGGGCACCACGGACTTGAATGGTCTTTGGTGGGTCCTCCTAGCCAACCCAGTCTGCAATGACTGTGTCCTTGCCCATGAGTCGCTTCGTCCTGATGAACTTCTAGTAGTGTAGGGGTTTGGTACTGGTCGAGTCCTATGATGAAGATGGTTTTCATGGTTGGGATGATTGTTCCATGGTTATCCCCCCTATGCTATTGGTGAGGAGATCCTGCATGACTGCTGGGTCACTTCTAATCAGAACATGATCTTGTGTCCTGACTCAGAACTGAAAGTTTATCTAACGCATAGTCCAGCTATCGATACTTGTCTTCAAGTGCTGTACCTACAGGGAAGTTTAATGTTACTCTCATTGGGACGTTGTAGTTGATGGTCTCTTAATTTTTTCGCCTTTTCAGCCTTCTGCTTGTTCCTGGACTGAACAAGTTGAAAGCCATCCTCTCCATTGTTGTCAAGGTCAACACCATAGTCACCTGGCTCACTTAGTGCATCAGGAGAGCTAGAGCGAGTAGCTGGGTCTCCAGTTAACTCAGACATGGTGGAGTTACAGGACTGTACCTATATGCCCGCGTCAGCGGTGGTTGGGAGGCGTAACCCTCTTACAGGAACAAGGGAAACTGGCATCTACAGCGTATTGATGGTGTGAGGGGGAAGCCATGAATGGGCCTTGCAGGAGGGGAGGGAGTGTGGTGTCAGAGACCAAGGTAGCAGGAGTATTCTTAGTTTTTAAACACTTTTATTACAGTACACTTGTTCTTACTCAATGGTATCTTGGCTTTTCTGGTTAGATACAGTATCAAGGTCACGGGAGTGTCGTGGTTGGTGGTGTCTGTGGTAGTGCAGTGGTGGCCACAGGAGTGTGCTGGTGTGAGGTAGTGGTGGCTGGTTGTCATGTGAGTGTGGTAGTGGTGGCTGGTTGTCATGTGAGTGTGGTAGTGGTGGCCGGTGGTCACGAAAGTGAGGTGGTAGTGGTGGCGGTGCTGGGTAGTGTGAGGTAATGGTGGAACTTTTCCAGTGGGGTGCAATGGGTCTGCTGGAACTTTTCTGGGGGGGGGGGGTTGTAGAGAAGCCCCACAACCAGGCTGAACCATGGGGGTGGGGGGTTTACTGCCCCCTCCCCTCCAGCAGAAGCACTTGGGTGTGGGAAGTAGTTGTGGGTGGTAGTCATGGGAGTGTGGTGGCAGTATGGGAGTATGGTGGTGGTGGGTGGTAGTCACAGGAGTGGTGGTGTGAGGTGTTTTGTAGCTGGTGGGTAATGCAAGGTAGTGGTGGCTGGTGGTCATGGGAGTGTGGTGCTGGTGGGTTGTCATGGGAGTGTGGTGGCAGCTAGTGTTGTTAGTGGTGGTGATGGTTTGTGCTGTAGTGACCCACATTCGAGCATGCTGCGAGTTGGTTATTGGTATTTTCAAATTCTATTTTCGAGTAGATACACACTTTTTTTTTCTTTGCTGTTACATCACACACACACACACACACACACACAATCATACAGATAATGAATTGATAAAGTAATTCTGGGCTACTGTATATCTGGTAACAGGTTTCTTAAAAAAAAAAAAGCCTCCCCCCCATTATAATTTTAATCCTGAAAACAAAATCATAAGGAATAAAAGTTATTAATGGGTATCCTTCATATAGATTATTTTAAGGAACTTCATTAAGCATTCAACTGATAAAGGTATTATAAAACTCTATTTAAACAAATGTTAAGACTAGGTATATTTATAAGGAAGCTTTGACATACAGTAATAGAGAGATAAATAGGTACAAGTATAACAGTTTGCATTGACCTTGTTTATAGACTGTTGACCGAGGGTGTATGAAAGTGTTTGTAATAAGATATTCTTTGGTGAATGTATCTCATGAATCATTCAGAAGAGATATGATGAACTGTCAAGGCAAGTTAGGTACCTTGTGTAGATACAAACCTTTGTAAATTTTCTTGAAAAAATTACCAGTATAATACAAGAAAAAGGCTCATCCTTAAAAAATACTATTACAGTTCAAAATACAGGTATAATTTGGCAAAGCCCCCAACAACTTCAAGATAGTTCCCTATATTCACATTAAGCATATACAATATGTAGACAGAACAATATACAATATGAAGGCACCATCCTAAACATGCATCATTCTCACAAGTTTACAAATCATTTGTGAAAGAGAAAAGGAGGAAACTGGCAGTCTTCAATGCAACATTAAAATTTCTTCATTTTTAACCGAGCATCAGTAACAACAACCAGTCAAAAATTCTACATATTCCACATATCAGTCAATTTTGTTAAACGGGCAGATGTACCAAAAAGATGGCCGGTAGAGCACTTTATGGGACACAAATTATAAGAGGCAAATATGAAATTAGTGGAACTGTCCAAAAAAAATTCCAGGATGGAGTCTGAAGATTTAAGGACATGTAGAAAGTCTTAAGAAGCAAAGAATTTATTATAAGAATAAAGGGAGTATTTGAGTTTTTGAATTAACAACCCTGCTGTTTGGTGGGAAAGGCATATTAGATATTATAACGACGTACTATTCATTAGATAACTCTTGGATGTATAACTCCTCTAAACAAATTACTCCTTCACAAAAATTTACAGGCATAAAATATAAATATATTTCATTTACAATAAGTTAGAAGGGTCTATGCTTAAACACTCTAAAAGCAGAACAGTACTTGTATTCCAAGATGTAACAGTAGCAAGTTTACAAGGAATTTGGGGTCCTATTCCTACGAAAACCAGTTATTATTTCTGCCTTAAGAGGCACTACAACAGAATAAGTTTCTCAACTGGGTATCACAATATCTTTCAAATAAAGAATAGTATAATAAGTTTCTAATGGATACAACATAGACTTTTGAAACTTTCTAATACAAAATTCTAATAACCAATAAGAGCAACTCTAGATGGGTCAGTGAGACCTCGTAACTTTTTCCATTAAACCTTTACCTTTTGTTAACCATTCTAGAAAACATTATGCAACACAACTTCAAAGCCAGAAAAGGTTTACACGACTGAGATTAGGTTAAAACATATTTAACAACTTCCATGCAATGGAAAGAGAACATTTGAGTTAATGATATTTAAGAAAGATATTTGGAACAGGAACCAACCTTTATTTTGCCTTTGTAATATTATTTCACTCAAAATTTCTTACTCCAAGTATGAAACACAGGCAAGACAGACTGGTTGTTAATACCATACTATAGCAGGACATAACACACACAATACTTATGCATCACTCCTCTACACCATTATTGGTCATATGATACCTAACATATTGTACATCATCCCAGGTCATGATACCTATCATCATGTACACCAACCAAGATCAAATTATACTTCTATAACATGATACCCAACATCTTGTACACCATCCTAGGTCACATGATGCCCAACATCTTGTAAACTATCATTTGTCATATCAAGCCAAAATACCTTATACACTATCATAGATCAAATGATGCCCAACATTCTTGTACATTACTGTGGGGCACTTTGTGCCCAACTACTAGAGTCATTTGATGGTCAACAGATCACATAATGCACCTTTTTTTTTTCTTATACAGATACACAGTACAGTCCTGTCCTATACTGTACATCATGTTAGGTATTGATGCACAATTTCAGGTAGCGTGTTTCACGATGATTTCAGGCATTTGAATGTTAAGTTACATATACCCCATGATAATGACTAAATATTTTCCTTATAAACCTATTACATCAATTCATGCATTCATTGCCCCCTTCTTGTTGGCTAATGCTGTCCCACTACCTGAGGTTAATATCCTGAAGATTCCATCTAACATCCTCAATAAATGCTGCCTTTTAATTAACTTGATGTGAAAATCACAAAACAAGAGAGTAGTACATCAAGGATAATATATAGTTCCACAGCCTCATATGATAAATAAAAATACATAGTACGTTGACAAAGTCACAAGAGAAGATCACTCTTATTTAACTTGTTATCCTGCTACAGCATCACTCAGTCACTGTTAAAAAATATATCCTTACCTTATAGGGGTTAAGCATTGGGTAACAATAATCAGAAATGCTCATCAACCTGTCAAAATTACATTGAGAGCCATATAATTTCACTGACTGAAGTATTACTTTCCCAACCTGCTTTGGACTCCAGTGTACAAAATAGAAAGCATTAATTAAATGCCTAATCCTGATGCTGCTTATGAAGGGTGAAGAGAGCCTTTATGCACATGTTCAGTGCATAGCTCCTTATCCCATCTTCCGAGGCCAATGTCTTGTGATACATGCACAGTTGCGCGCACACACACACACACATCAGAAACAAGGGCTAATACAAAGCACAGCATATTTATAACACTGAATCAAAAATGTAGATTATCACATACTGTACAAGGAAAAGTAGAATGTGGGTAACTTAAACATTCTATATTTGCCATCTTGTACACTCGTCTAATAAAACAAATACCGTCTCTCACATGCTACACTCATTCTCTTCATACTAAGTTATACCAGACTCAATACGAAATTGAAAAATATATCGCCTATACACCCAAACTTTTAATTTCTGCTTTGGTCACATACTGCTAATTTCAAAACCATCTTACAGAAGACTTGTTAACAGCAAGATGAATTAAATCTCCTCAAAAAAGGAATCCTAAATCCTGAAACACCACTGAAAGAGGGATGAAAAATGCTTGGGTTAATATTAGCACAGTGTTTAATATTTGTGGCTCTTTCTAAGTTATCACAGAGTATTGCGGAGGGCTGGCTGGCTGGCATCCCCCACTAACCATCAAGCGTTGTTCCAGTATTCAGGAAAAAAAAAACTGCAAAAGTGAGGGTAACTTCCATGTGCAATTACCTCAGGTCATATAACTGAGTTTAACAATAGTAATGATAATGAATAATCTTGTCATGACTTAGGGATATCAAACTAACATTCCACAAATATTTTTTCTTACTGTTCTTAATATAGCATTTCACCTCTTGCAACTTATATCCACACACCTAGTTGTGTTTACGTAAAAATATATAGCCTAATTTACTCAATGTGAGTAAATCAAACTATGGAAACTCTGAATGTTACAACTGGCCAAAGGTGGCACTTCCTTAGGATACAGTTAATTCCCCTTATCTGGCATTAATGAATTACTGTTAAAATTGCCAACAGAAAAGTCAAAATACCTAAAATATATCCTTTGAAAACATAAAATCTAGGTTCATACTTAAGGGAATGAAACAAGAGGGCTGTGCCACAAGTAATTTGATTTCTTCTATTGACCAACAATTTCAATATATGAGACTGACTGACCAAATATGTCAAACAGCTGAAACACATAATCCCCTCCCTCCCCCATCATGCTGCACTATGTAGGAAGTCACCTGGTGTATAAATTGATGACAATGACTGGTACAAAACTGAAAACCTTGAGTTACCATTGAACTAGTAATGCAAAACTCATGTTTCAATTAGGTACTTCTAATATTTCAAAATAGATCAATTGTTAATGGCCAAAGATGTATGCATGGTTTTAAGAGTCCAATCTTTTATCAGTTGCATCAAGGGTAAGTCAAGGCTCAATATTACATTCAACATTCTTATAGAGTAGAACCTGGATCATTTTCATCTTTATAGCCAATTATTATGAGATGAACTTTGTGCATTTAATTTCCAGTACATCTTATTGTTCTCATTCAGTACTATTGATTTAAATAATATAAAAATACTTAAAAGCATTCTTGAAGTGCAGTATGATTGATCCCATCCTTAACAAATATGATCAAGGCTCTGTGAGAATATTTCATGATGATCTGATACCAATAAGACACTTTTCTGTACATTTAAATGCATTTAAAAAAATTTAACAAACACTATATCAAAAAGTACACGTGTAATCAATAGTTAACTGAGCTATGTGTAAAGACCTGCCAAAATACTCAAAAGCCAATCCAATGGTGTGATGGGGAAAAAATAAATTTTATTGTCATCTTCCCTCAGCACCATGAGAAGAACGGACTCTTTTCTTGGAATGACTGTGTGAATGTGTCACTGAAGGATCGGAAGCGGGCTGTTGTCCCAACACGCCCTTTAGACCTATACAGAGGAGAATGGGAAGATAGTTAATCAATTAAATACCATCATAACTGAAACAATATACTGTAATATAAATTTTATTTAAGAAATTATTGTGTAATTTTTTATGGACACATTTTCCCCTGGGAATCTTAAAGAAGCCAAATAACTAATAATGTCTCTACTACCTTGCAATCCCCAAGATTAACTGACCAACTCACCGTTCAACAATAACTGCAGGCATTTGAACCAGCTGTACAGGACTCTTGCCATCTCTAAGGGCTTGAGTTAGGTTTAAAATTTGTCCACGCATCACAGACATTTGCCGCTCAAAAATGTGACGATCAAATCCTTTGTCAGTCTGCCAATTACAGTAAAAATTAGTGAAAAAGTAGGTCTAAAAATACTATCACAAGATATGCAAATAAACAAAAACTTAATTAATTACAGTAAAGCTATAGCAATTAATTACTTAAGTACTGTATTGTATCTGGACCTGTTGAATACATGGGATGTTTAGAAGGGTAGAGAGCAAAGGGACTAAATTAAAGACTGGTGGAATGGGCAGGGAGAGGTTCACCGAGAAAGATGGACAAGGAGAAGGTGAACGAGGTGTACAGGAGCAATGTAGCTAATGCACTGGAATGGGGGAGCAGATAAGGTAAACAGAGGATAAAGGGGATTTGTGGTAAAATGACAGACTTAAGGGTTTTCTGTTGTGGCTACCTCCTCAAAGTGGAGTTCTTTAGAGGAGTGAGGCACTGTAAATACCCATTTCCAGAATATACATCTTTCCCTCTATGCAAGGTAAGTATGTTGACGTCTCATATTCATTTCTTGTTTATTTACCTTTCAAAAACTCCCATGAAATGTATTCACCATTATCCTCTACATTGTACCGATATTAACTTGAAGTACAGGTATTTCACCAAGAAAAAGAGCCATAATAATAATGGCAAATAATGCAGGTAAGCACATACAGTACATGCCTAAAGGACAAATGTGCAATATTGGGACCATTATCAATACTGTACATCTTTTCATCTGTAATCTTAACCTGTGAAGCAAGGATATGGCTGTTGGAAGGAACATGATTAAGTTCAATTATTGTTAAAAGGTTCATAAGTTACTGACCAGGCACAAAAGTTCATGGGCAGGCAATGCCTTTGTATCTTATCCCCTGTATAAAAAAAGTGAATAAGTTTTAATAAATACACATATACAAGAATACTACACTTAAGATGTTGTGCCAAAATTATTCTAATATGGTGTATTGTTTCTTGTGAACATTAATAATACTTAGCTTAAACACTAAAATTTTTCAGTCAGCACAAATATGAAACTTTCTTGTTTGTCAAGTTTACTAAACTATTTAAAAACATTAACAAGAAATTTTGTTCTTTTTCACTAAGAATTTTTGCAATATCTGGGAATATTAGTCTTTAGAATTAAGAAACAGGGCTAAATTCCACAAATTAAACAAAACTGTACATGGTTACTATTGCAACAAACAAAATCCTTACTGTATCAGTATGAAAGTCTAACAATTAAGATAAAAAAAGAAAGGTTTTCTTCATGATTGAACATTGGACAAAAACTTGCAAAACTGTCAGCTGTATTATATCATTTTGTTCTGCAAAATTTTTTAGACCCAAAATAGAAGCTCATTATGGATATACGTACAGTAAACCGTCAAAAGTCTGGAAAATTTGGGGGGAAAGGGGGTCCGGACTTGTCGATTGTCCAGACTTTTACCAAGTTCTTTTTTTTGGGGGACGTTTGGGGACCACTGTGCACTAAGCAGCCCCAAGACCCTTAAATTTATATTTTAATGTGTAATAATTGTCATGTGTGTTTACTTTTACATCTTTCCTTTATATTTACTAGTCGAGTTCATTAAAAAATTATTTATTTAAAAAAAAATTATTACCTTATTTATTATTAAAATATACAGTACTGCAGTGTCCAATCAGATTTGATATAGGCCTAACGAGAGCTAATAGGTATGAAAGATAACACAACAAATGTAAACGTGCTGGAGGGAGGTGGTGGGACTGTCCATTGCCACGATCATGTTTGTTTTTACTTCCTCAATATCATATTCTTGGACGATCAGCCTCTTCATCAATAATAATATAAAATATTAAATAGAAAAAATACTATGTATAATTTTATTTATTCATTATTATATTCTTGTATGATCAGCTGCTTCGGGTGTAAATTTCATTCATATAAAATATTGAATTATAGAAAGAAAAAAACTATATATACAAGGTAATTTGACTTCAAAATAATGGAGACCGAGATGAAGTACGCCAAGTGTGTGTGTGTGTTATATGTTCTCTTCCTGTGGCTGAATGTGTTGAACTTAAAGCTAACCAATCACAGTGGGGAAATAAACTGCTCACTCGCGGGTCCAAGAGGAGGAAAGAAACCAAAGGATTGCTCACTGACGGTAATTTCAAATGACAAATATTTAAGGGTATGGATAAATGCTCTTGCCCAGAAGGGGTCCGGAATATCCGAAATCCAGACTTACGGGGTCCGGACTTTCAAGGGTTTACTGTATACTTATGGGACACATTGTACAATGAACGTCTGATAAATGCAATTAATTATTTTGTTTAAACTCTTACCTGAAACAAATTATACATATCATCACAAAGTTCTTGGACAAAATTCATGTCTGATAACAGTGGGAGAACAAGGTCCCTAATTTCATTGCTGAAAGCAATTTTGGCCCATGGTAGCCATGCCCAATGGTAAGGATAAGCTCGCCACGAGTCAGGATGTTTAAATGGGAAGGCCAGGCCATTGTCAATTGCAGCTACTCTGACCTCTGGGGGCTTCACCACTGACCAGTCCTGAAAGTTAAGCAGTGTCAATAAATTTAAATACATACTAAATAGGGTGGAAGAGGTGTGCCAGAAGGCCTTTTAGTACACACACTACAACTGACTCATTCATCTTCAAGAATACTGAAGAGCCGAATGGAAATGATCACGAGGTAGTAAGATAAGAAAATGAGTAAGTAAAGTGGAATAAAGTGGTTGGAAGGGGTATTGGCTAAGTATGAGAGTGTGGCTGTATAACTGTCGTCAAATCATTAACATATGGAGTTACAGGAAGGTTACCCAGTACCCCTTCTCTCTACCCTAATTTGACTCCAGTAGTACAGTACAGTGACCCCTCGTTTAACGTAATTTCGATTAACGAACTGCCTTCCATAAGGATCTTCAATTCGGTTAACGAAGTTCTTACGAACCGACCTCAACATGTTTTCGCTTGCACTGACCGGGCAACCAGCTTTAGTATCAGTCCGCCAATACATTAATCGGTTCTAGGGCTTAAATTCCTTACTATTTTAGTAAATATCAAGAAGTTTATACTATTCAATAATTTTAAAAGTTTAATATTCAATTTTTTTGTCATTTTAACTATTATTGAACATAATTGAAGGTAAAGTGACTAGTTTAATGCTCGGCATCCAGCCTCTTAACACAGCAAACAGGAGTTAGTCTCTCTGTTTTCACTGGAGGTAACATCTTGCTTGAGACTCTCTTCAACTAAACGCATTTTTTCTGTGTTTCCAAGCAAATTATTGGTCATTTTGAAATATATTTTACATATTGACAATATATAATGCAGTGCAGTGTTGATTTAAAGAAAATAATCTTGAATTACACCAAGAGAGCTAAAATTTTATGGGTGAAATGGCACCATGGGGTGACTTCTCTTCCACCCCAATGCCTTCTCTTCTTCCTTCTCCTCCACCCCCATTCTAAATCCCATCATCATCATCATCCAGGAGCCTTCCACATACACACCTCAAAGTAAGTGAACTTTTCTACCATTTTTGTTGAATTTAGGAAATTTTCGGTGAGCTGGAACCAATTACCCAAAAACCCATTGAAACAATGGTTTCGGTTAACGAACTTTTCGGTTAACGAACGACCTTCTGGAACGGATTGAGTTCGTCAACAGAGGGGTCACTGTACTGTATTACTTCATTAACTTACAGACCACCATCAGTGTAGGCATGTACATCTTGATGCATTCTCATCCATACATTTTTTCTTTCCACGCATATCTTTCTTTCTAAGAATATTTCATATTCATATCTTTGATATTTATAAAAAAAAAAATTTAGAATGTTCATTGCTTCACCAAATATTAGTGCAGGTTTCTAAATTAAAATTAATTGTAACCACTTATCTTTACATGAATCAGTACATTTCTGAAACTTTGTTCCCACCAGGAATTTCTTATGAGGCAAGTTACAAGCATCTTCAGTTCTTAGATTGTACCAAAACTTGAAAAAAAATTCTCTATGAAATACAGTATCTGTTGGTTTCTCTTACCTCACCCTCTCCTTCATCTGCTAGTTCTGGTTTGTCATACTTTATCAGCCAGTTGTCATTACCACGGTCTGTATTTCTAATGATGTAGTCCAAAATAACAAGGCGCTCAAACTGTAACTGAAACTGCCTGCTAGTTGTCTCCCCTAAAGGCTCAGTCTCAAATCGCCTCAGCCAATAGTCTGCATCTTTGAACCCCTGGGAAAATAAAAAGGATCAACTTAACTTTTTTTTAAAACAATACTAACACTACACACACTGTGAACAAGGACCTTCAAGTAGAGGTAGTCTTTTATATTTTACTAACCCTTCTGTACAGTATATACAGACTTTACCAAAATACTAAACAATGTAGGCAGGTAATCCCTGATCAACTCAGGGTGAAGCAAACTTGACTTGACAACAATGAGGGTGATTGGAAGTCCTACAAATTATGCCTAGTTCCCATTCTGTGCCAGATTTGTTTAGACGTAGAAACAAGCACCAATGCCAGGAAAAATTCTGTAAATATGCAATTTTTTGTGGAAACATGAGAACTTAAGTCTCAATACCAGGAATGCTGTGCAACAATTGTTCTGGCTAATAGGAATATTGCTGTATGTCTTTAGCACGAGCAACTTCCAAAAACATGACCTCACTAACTTCTGCTCAAAAAACAATACAAACCTCACTAACTTCAGCCCAATAAACAATAATACAAAGTGTATGCAGCACATGTATGCATCACTCTCCTTTAAATACAGCAAGGGCATATCAGGAAGCATACTTAAAGGGTGGCAATCATTTGGATTTACTATGGCCATTGAATATCGATTTTGTAAAATATCTGCACAAAGTTCATTTCATCAATAAGATTTTCTGGAACATTCAGTAAACACCCTCTAATCCAGACTAATTGGTGGGAAGGCATGTCTGATTTGGCCAAAATTCCGGGTTGGGTGGGGGTCTGTATTACCTATATTGCAGGGTGAAAATTCCTGAGGGTGGGGAATTTCCAACTCAAGCTACCTAAGAACACTGAACCTACTGTAATTTTTAGCCTATATTAACACCCCCAGGGTTTTTGTACCACACATTAATTTTTTTTTAGCCATTTAGAGTTTTAAAAAATAGTGGAAAAAAAAATCCTGTCTCATATGCTCTTGGCAGCTTGACTATGTGCTGTACACTATTCATCATATTCATTACACTTCACTTTTGTGCTCCACTGCCTTCTCTGAGGCAACTGCTGAGTTACTCTTCTGTGCCACCACGGTGGACAGCCACCACTTATGCAACCCCCCCCCTCATAGTAACCAGATTTTGGTTGTGTTTTTCTGGGATGGGGATACAGTACACAAATCTGGTGCTGGACCCCAGTCAGGTTTGCAAGGGGATCCAGGTTAAGAGTGTCTGGGTAAAAGGGTGTTTACTGTGATTAAATGCATTATCCTTATCACTGGTGGTGATCAATTCCAATTATAACCTCAAGAGATATTTACTTACCTCCACAAACAATTGGAATGATCCAACTTTAGGTGGAAGTCCAATTCTGTGGAAATGCCGACCTACTTTGGGAAATCTTTCAGAGACCAGCTTCTTCGCTCTTGATTTCTCACGATCTATCCTTGTGTAATTGAAAGTTTCACTGGCTAATTTTACTACCTGAAATGCAAAAAAAAAGGAATAATTTCTTAGTAAACTAAAGTATTGTTCACTTCAACTTAACAGTTACCGGTACTTACAAAGTAATACAGTAATGCAAGAAGTCATATATATATATATACAACAAAATCACACAGGTACACACATCTGAAAACCCCAGGTAAGTGGCTGGTCTGGAAGAAATACCAGCATGAATTAGTATTAGCTCAAATCAAGCTGGCTTTGTTGACTTTATCATAAGCTTCTACTGCCCTTATTACTACCTATAAGCAGTTCCTCCACTGTTGGTTGGCTTTGATCTTACGGATAATAAGAAATCATCCTTTTGTTGGTCCGAGTGCACAGCCACTGATTATGCTTAGTCAGACAAAAACTTTCACGGATTACTGTCACTACTTACTGGACATATTTCTTAAGGGCGGTGCTTCAGTCATTACTTCAACCATTTAAGGTATACAGTACTCAAGACCAAGCTGGTGAAGGAATACTACCTCACTGTGACTCAAGCTAGGCTCCTTTTTTTTCAACGATCACCAGGAAGCCGTCAAAACAGCAGTTCAGTATACAGGCCATGTTAACCCCCTTGCATACGAGCTAAGATTTAAGTTTTCCAGTTCCAAGATCACATTTCTGAGGCTCCCAGGGCAGGCACGACAGTGCAAGGTGATTTTTTATTTATTTATTTATTTTTTTTTTTTTTTGCTTTACCAATTTCCCTTCCAAAACCTTTTTTTTTACAATATATCTTTGGCTATATAACCAATTGCTCTGCAACATATAAAAAAAAGAATAATACAAGTACAGTATATAGCTATTTTTCATCACTTCAAATAAACATGATTGGAAAAAAATACACACCAGTACATTCACAACTTCCTATACACTGCTAGAAGCGGAATTTTATGAACTTACCCCATCAAACTGTTAAATCTACAATACTGTGTAGTGCATAGAGTAGCCTCGGGTAATTTGGTGACTTTTTAGTTAATTTTTTTTGTAATTTGAGGCTACCCAAATTAAGGTACAGGCACTACAATTTCCCTAACTATTGCAAAACTTTTCTTTATTTTGTGAGAACATCCAGGCTGGAAGGATTTTTCAATCAACCACCATGCCGATACAATTACTACTGCACATGTGCACTTTCCCAATACTAATGCCATATCACTCTCCCAGTTCTCAAAGTAAAGGGCTCGAGAACAATTCCTCTTTCTCCTACAATTCCCCATTTCAAGTGAGAAAGGAAGAGAAGGAAATTTGCCACGCTTGCCACGTAAATTAAGGAATGTACCGCGTAACTAATAATTGGCACGTCTGGACAGGTGCCGCGTAAATGGCCAAACGTGCATAAAATATCCGCGTAAACCCAAACTATACTGTACTGTGATTTTTTACTTTGTTAATGTTCTTGGTCCCTATCTCACAAAATAACCTGTGACTACTGTAAGCAAGTACTGCAGTACGCATTTTATAATTATAACCTATGCACGGATAATTATCCACGTCCCCAAACTTTTGAAAACCTCCAAACTCGGTGGGTTTAATTAGACTGAATTTATTGTAATTTAGCACCACTAATCAGTTGTGTTTAAACTAGCTTGGTGTTAGTGCTTCATTGTATCACTCTACTGTTACTGACTAAAACAGCACCTCTGTATTTGCAAAGGCATCCAAAGAAAGATCACTGGTAGACTTTTATCTCCAGCGTCATCTACTCAAGAAGAGAGCTACACTAATACTGTAGTAATAAAAAGGTAGAAACACTGCAGTTGCTGGATGCAGGTTAGATAAAAAATAAGGTATTGAAATTTTAAGAAGTGTTGTCCAAAGAAAATGACCCCCCCCTCCCTGTAGATGCATATGGAAATAAAACTAAATGCAGCCTAAATAATGATTAAGTCCTGGATTATGCATGAATCTCATTGTGCAGGTGAACTAATTTATGTTTCTATCAATCACAACAAAGAATTCAATTCATATAAAGTCACTTACTAAATACAACATGCGTACTTAACTGATTAAAACACTAAGCTCTATTTTAAAAGTACAATACTGTACTGTACCATGTAATATACAGTACTTCAGTTTTAAAAGTACTGTACAGTATCACATACTCTAGTTTCAGAAATAAGTACCACATACCCTAGTTTTAGGAACAACATTGAGCTGTAACTTCTGATCTACAAGGGAGGCTCCAGCCTCAGATAAGTATCCCTGGTTAGGCACGAGGCATGAGCGACCAAAGCAGCATGGACAGCAGACTTTATGTAGCCACTTGGTCCACTTGGGATTAAGGCGACCATATGGTTCCTCATCTTTGGGTTTGTATACAGCAATAACTTTCTGTTAAAGTAGACAATAATATTCATTTAGTATATAATACATCCCCCTACCAAACCAGATGTACTGTGGCTTCAAATACAATTTTCAATTCATTACTAATGTCCCTGATAGACCGGTATGAAGAAGCTTATCTTGAGCATAAACTTCCACTCTGTTGGTTCTATATTGTGAAACTGAGATTAACCTAGAAGAAAAGTACCCAACACTAAAGTATCTTTCACGAAAAACAGCCATTAGCAGCAGTTGGATATGTATAATAATACAAATGTTTTATTTATATATCTATCCATCTTAATCCTGTAGCTTTCCCCCATCACATATACAGTATGTATACATTTTTACAACACAATTTCACCCACATGTACACCAGCCATTGCACAACTCTTCATATTCTTACACTGTGACTCACATAATTCTCTTGGTGTAAATACTGTACTTCCCTTTTCTTAGCTTAGTAAAATTCAGATTTGTTTTTTAAATATATTCCATTTTCTCATTCTACTTTCTATTCACTCTCCTAACATCCCCTTCTTTGATCTACCTAAACACAATACTGTACTCTCCATGAGCCATTCTATTGCTCCACACCAAGTTACAATCTATACATGGCTATTTATGTAACTCTTTCAACTGGAATCTAAAAACTCACCACATTACTGTTTTTGACAAAGTAGCTCCCACTGGACCCTTGGTATATCCTTTCAGGATATATTCCACTTTCTATAGATGTTTCTGCTTGTCTGACCAAGTCTGTGAAGTGTGGGTCATCTGAAAAGACAGGATATTTTGGTTAACATTACCATGAACAATGCAAATACTGTACCGTAATACTTGAGAAATTGATGAAAAATAAATAATGATACACTCCGTATAAATAATGGTATCTTTAAGCTCAGGAGATACTGCTACGATGAACAAAGGAGTCAGCAGTCTGCTAAATGGAGTATTGATCTTCAAATCCCTGTCTTGTGGATCCCTTGGATAAACCAGTTAACCTTTCCCTTCTTCTGTCACTGGCCTTAGAAGATAGGGACTTGACAGTGGTTGTTCTGAAGAAGTGAAAGTGCGTATACAGCCAATACTATACAACTAAGCCCTCAATCACCATGGTAACTAGTGATTAATAACTATACAAATCATTATGATCATTAAAATTAAAATGGAATAAAGAGTATATAAGAGCATATACAAACACTATCAATACACTCACAATAAATTGTCCTCAGACTGTTTGATGTTATTCTTGCATCTATGCCTCCCCAAAAAAAAAAAAAATGGTGGTAAAGTGCCAAGTGCAGAAGAAGTATTTGTTGCACATAAAAACTTAATATCCAACAAAATATGACATGAAATTCACTAAAATTAATACAAGAGTGCAATTTATTATAAGCTCCTTCAGAAATTTTTTTTTACAAGAATATTTGATCTACAAAACCCCAATTCACAAAAATTCGCTCCTACAAGTCATTTTTTTTCCTGTGATTCAGTATACGAATGAAAGCCCAGCTTTTACGAAACAATTACGGTATTTTTCCAAAGCATCTGAGAGCATCCCAAGCTCTTTGTATGTTAATCAATCATGCCTAATAGCCCCAGTGATAGTTCTTCTTATGCTGATGTGATAAGGCATAATAAAGCATAATAAGAGTGGTGATGAATCAGCAAAGATTGGTAGAGACTTGAACATGCCACCCTAGACCATCTCTACCATCCTAAATACAGGTATGTAAGTGAATTTATGCTTTACATTCCTTATTTAATGCTTATTATGCTTGCTTTACATGCCTGCTTTATTTTCTTGCTTGGCAGTGTGCACGACAGAGATATCTCAAGGGTAGAGGCGAGTCTTGGAGTGTGGCCAGTCCCTAACCCCCTGAATCTGTTATATTCTCATAGGATTAATTACTTCGATAAACTTTGATTCACTAACCAATGATTTTTCAGTCCCTATATGCGTCGTTTATCAGAGTATGCAGGTAAGGTCGTGGTAGTTGGGGACAGCCAGGTGAGGTTTTTAGATAGGACTTTTTGTGCGAGAGATAGGAAACGTAGGACTAGGGTGTGTTTTCCTGGGGCTGGGATAGGGCATGTAGCTGAGAGGTTAGACAGGGTTTTGTCAGGGGAGGGTACCAATCCAGTAGTGTGTCTTAGTGTGGGAGGAAACGACAGGAAAGATTAGGAGTGAGGAACTTTTCAAGAGGTATAGGGAGGCGCTGGGGAAGATTGGAGATAGGGGAGCGATCCCGATAGTATGTGGTGTCTTGCCTAGAAGAGGGGTTGGTCGTGAATGGCTGTCCAGGGCAATTGCTATAAATTGCCGACTGAAAAAACATTGTGCAAACAATGGTTGGGCATTCATTGATAGCTGGCAACGATTCTATGGCAATGACTACCTGTACAGTCGCGACGGAGTACACTTGTCTCGTGAGGGGGTAAAGACGTTGTCTGCATCCCTGGAGCGTGAAATTGTCACTCCGAAGGGGGGGTTTCGCCAGTAGAGAGAGGTCGGGGAAAGTGGGAGTCAAAAAACAAGCAGATCCTGGGAAGTAAAATTAGTTACTCAGGACAAAGGGTAAAACAGGACCTGGGAAGGGTAGGTTTAAATGTATACTATACAAACAGTAGGAGCGTTAGAAATAAAATAGACTTGCTGAGAGCGGTTGTATGTACCGAGAATGTAGACGTCATAGCAATCACAGAAACTTGGATGAATCTGGCGAGCAAAATTTTTTTATCAGAGTACCACATAGAAGGGTACAACCTTTTTCACAAGGACAGGGAAGGTAGGAAGGGGGGAGGGGTCGCACTCTTCGTCAAGGATACATTAAAATGTTGTATCAATAATTCAATAAAGGGTGAAATAGGAACCGAGTCTGTATGGGTAGAAATCACGGAAGGAAGAGAAAAACTAATTATGGGAGTGATTTACAGGCCCCCAAGTCTTGGGAAAGAAGCAGCTCAGCCTATATGGCAGGAAATGAGTAGGGCAGCAAAATACAACAACCTATGCATTATGGGGGATTTCAACTTCAGAAATATTGACTGGGACAACATTGTAGGTGACTATGAATCTGAAGACTTCCTAGATGCAGTACAGGACAATTTTTTGAAACAACTAATTACAGAACCTACTAGAAGTGACAATATATTAGACCTAGTATTAACAAATAAAGAAAATATTATCAAATATCACAGTAGGGGAAGAACTAGGTAACAGTGATCACAGAGAAATTGGGTTCACCCTAAATTGAGAAACAAAAAACAATGACAATATGGTCAGAGTCCCAAACTTTTGGTTGGCGGATTATCAGGGGTTAAGAAGGTACCTAGGTGAGGTCACCTAGGAACAGTCACGTCAGTCCACAGTAGGAAGGGGTGAGGTCATAGATGACACAACAATTGATCATGACTATAATATATTCACTAGAATACTACATAAAGCACAAAACAAAATATACCATGCAGAAAAATTAGGTCAAATAAGAATGAGCCAAGGTGGATGACCAGAAAACTTAAAATGACATAGGAATAAATAAAGGAATATAAAAGAAATTAAAGGGAGGGGAGGAGCAGCTCAGAAATAGGTATAATGAACTATCTAGGAATGTTAAGAAAAATGTAAGGAAAGCAAAGAGAGACTATGAAATCAAAATGGCAAGAGAATCCAAGGCGAATCCCAAGGGATTTTTCCAGGTATATAGGACAAAGGTCAAGGACAAAGTCGGGCCTTTAAAGTCAGGGAGGGGGAGAAGTGATAAATGGCAGTGAAGAAATAAACAAAGCATTGAACAGCTACTTCTTATCAGTTTTCACAGAAGAAATTTGCGATGAAATTCTAGAGGTGGAACTGATATTTAAGGGAAAGGAAGAAGAGAAATTAAAGAACATCACTATCAGAAAAGAGGATGTTTTTAAGATAAATAAACTAAAGAAAACAAAATCCCCAGGGCCGGATGAAATTTTCCCTCGAGTCTTGAAAGAGTGTAGGGAACAGATTAGCGGACCCCTCGTAAACTTATTTACAAAATCATTAGACACCGGAGTTGTGCCAGACTTGTGGAAACAGGCAAATGTAGTACCCATATTCAAAAAGGGAGGCAGAGCATCAGCGTCAAATTACTGGCCGATCAGTTTGACGTCAGTAGTGGGGAAATTTCTTGAATCAATTATAGCAGATAGCATCCGATCGCATCTAGAGAAAAGCAAATTAATCTACGACTCTCAACATGGGTTTACAAAGGGAAAATCTTGTCTAACAAATCTGCTGACGTTTTTTAGGAAAGTCTTCGAGGTAGTAGATAATGACGAAAATTACGATGTTATTTACTTAGACTTTAGCAAAGCATTTGACAGAGTACCACATCAGAGGCTTCTGAGAAAAATTAAGGCTCATGGTATTGAGGGGAAGTTTTAAATTGGATAAAATCATGGCTCACCGATAGAACGCAGAGGGTCAGCGTAGATGGTGTTAAATCTGAGTGGGGCCGTGTAACCAGTGGGGTTCCCCAGGGGTCAGTACTAGGCCCACGCTTGTTCATGATCTACATAAACGATCTAGATACTGGAATCAGCAGTGACATAAGCAAGTTTGCGGATGACACCAAAATAGGGCGGCAGATTAATTCAGGGCAGAATGCAAATGCATTACAGGAGGATCTAAGTAAATTGCAGGGGTGGTCTGAAAAATGGTAAATGAAATTCAACACCAGCAAGTGCAGTGTACTTAATATTGGAAGAACAAATACAGTACTGATAATGTATACAGCCTTAACATCATCAACCTAGAGAAGTCGACTTGTGAAAGAGACCCAGGGGTACTTGTAAGCCCGGACCTATGGCCTAGAAAACAGTACGTTAATGTTCGAAATAAGGCAAACAGAGTACCTGTATTGGGTTTTATATCTAGAAGTGTAAGTAACAAGAGTGCAGAGGTCTTATTGCAACTATATCTTGCGCTACTCAGGCCGCACCTCGATTATGCGGTTCAGTTCTGGTGCCCCTATTATAGAATGGATATAAATTCACTAAAGTCGGTGCAGCGAAGAATGACAAAAATTATTCCGGGACTTGGAAACCTTCCATATCAGGATAGGTTAAAGAAACTAAACTTGCATTCCCTAGAAAGACGAAGAGTGCGGGGAGATATGATAGAAGTATTTAAGTGGGTGAAAGGAATCAATAAAGGGGATATAAATAAAGTTCTTATAATATCCGAGCAGGATACGACTCGGAGCAACGGATTCAAGTTGGATAAGTTTAGGTTTAGGAGGGAGATAGGAAGAAACTGGTTCACAAATAGGGTGGTGGGCGAGTGGAACAAGCTTAGCAACTTTGTAGTAAGTGCAGGAACTGCGGAAAGTTTCCGGTCCGACTAATTACCCAAATGTAGCAGCAATGAAGTCAAATGATGGTCATACAAGCATAATTCGGGCTGTGAATCACTTCTCGATTATTATTTGGTGTCATAAAGTCAAAAAAATTGGTAAACTTAATTTAATCTGAGTTGTGTTGTGTTGTGTTAGGTTAGGTTAGATTAGGTTAGATACATGCACTTGATCTATTAACTCAGATTAAATTAAGTTTACCAATTTTTTGTGACTTCGTGACACCAAATACTAGTCGAGGTTAGGTTAGGTTAGGTACATGCACTCGATCTATTAACTCAGATTAAATTAAGTTTACCAATTTTTTGTGACTTTGTGACACCAAATACTAGTCGAGAAGTGATTGTCAGTCCGATTTATTCATCTAGGACCATTATTTGACTTCATTGCGACTACATTTGGGTACATTTGGGTAATTCCTCGCTCCGTCGGTACATGCACGTGATCTATTAACTCGGATTAAAGTAAGTTTTCCAATTTTTTGTGACTTTCTGACACCAAATACTAGTCGAGAAGTGATTGGCAGTCCGATTTATTCATCTAGGACCATTATTTGACTTCATTCCGGCTATATTTGGGTACATTTGGGTACATTTGGGTAATTAGTCGGACCCGAAAGTTTCAAAAGGAGGCTAGACAGATTCATGGATGATAGTGTGTGGTAGTAACTCTCGACAGGAGCTGCCATGCACAGGCCAACCGGCCTATTGCAGACTCCTTATTTTCTTATGTTCTTATGTTATGTTCTAATGTGTGGCAATGTTTCTGTGGTCATATACAGTATACAGGCAGGTATACATATAATGTCATATGAAGGTGCTACTGCGCTGTTTATGATAATACCCCTAAACAGTAACGTAACCTAACCTAGCCACAGAACCCTGGAACTGTATCTAACCTCACCTAAATTCCTAAGATTTCCCGGATAACCGAAACTAAAATAATACCTTCTTTTTCTACTTGCTATTGTGTTCTTATGAATTACACATCAGGCATCATGTACAAATACTGTACTGATGAAATAACACGTATGTTGTGACTAGATCATCTGCCTTCCCTGATTGCATTTTGTATGTAATAACATTTAACAATAACATGTATAACATTTAACAACACATGTATAACATTTAACAACGTGTGTATAACATATAACAATCACTTTGGAACCTGTGCACAATAGTGAGTCACACCTGGCCAATGGTTGAAGTCATCTTGTTCATGTCTTGCACCAAGGAGAGGTTGACTCTCCCTATTACTCCTGGGTGAGCCCATACCAGTGTGATTCCCGGGACCAAATGTAACGTCTGGAAGGAGAGCAGTGGCAGAGTCCTCAGAAGCCTCGGACGCCGTTGACAAGGATCGTATTCGCTCGTCCACCACCGCGGCGGCCGTTGTGGCTGCTACAGGGTTTATTTCGTCTGTGTCTGACGTCATTTAGCACTTGTCAGCGCTTACTGTCAAAGTCCAGCCACTTAATAGTTCTAGTTTGTTCATGAATTCATGATACACATTAGAATCAGCTGACTCGCCAGCAAAACAAACTAACAACACTCGCCATGACACTCCGCTGTTTACGTCACTCCCTAATCGAAACACGTGACCATCAACAATGCGCCGTTTAAATATCCTCTATAACACATTACCAACACAGTCTTATTAATAATAAATTTCGTGTAATTAAAAACATTTCTATGATGTATGTTGAGTCATCTCTATAAGAAATAAAACGAAATAAATGTAAATATTTTGTGTAAACTTTACCCGATCTGTCGCTTGATGAAATGTCTTAAAACAATAATATTAGGCAAAGCCTGTATGTTCAGTACGTGGTACAGCAACAAGACACTGTGAAAATTATTAAACCTCAAAGTGGCATAAGAGAAACGACTTACGACGAAGATCTGGGAGTCACGAGGGCCAGAGGAATCATATGACACGTTAGTGGCGCGTGAATGCTCTGATAAGTGTACACATACTGAATATACCTATTTTGTTGTACAATACACACTATCTACACGTATATATATATATATATATATATATATATATATATATATATATATATATATATATATATATATATATATATATATATATATAAAGCTATTTCTGGAGTAATGCAGCATAGGAATTTCCAGCAACTTGAGAAAATATTCAGGAAAATCGTGAAGCATTATGAAAACGTAACTTTTTGCATAATGGCAGGACATGTGACTAAGGGATATGGGACGTACGCCCCAGCAATTTTAAATATCAACCATATCTTCATATTGTGGAAACAATAAAAAAGTGAGATATACAGTTGGAAACATTTATTGATAAATTCAACTTCAACATTAATAATTTGGAGCTGCACACATCACTCAAACAATAATTGGCAAATTTAACTTTAGCAATAATTTGGAACTGTACACCGGAGTTTAAAGTGGCACAACTTTTCCCAACATAAAGAACGGAAACAAATTTCGTACAGTTGGACAAAAAAGGTTAACACCGTATTCTATGATGGGTTAATAAATAATGCTATGACCAATAACAAGGTCAAACTCGTGATCGCTCAACTGTACTTCCATACGAAACATCAAATGGGGGCGCAAGATGCATCACAAGGGGTCACAGAGGTCATGGGATCCCATAAAGCTCATATTCCAGGTGTCCGGGAACGACGAACGTGGCCCAGGTGCTGTCTCCTTAAGTCGGGACAATAAATTATGGTCAAGGGAATAATGCAGTTACTCTCCTTGTGTCAGTCCAGGGAAGGCGAACGCTAATGACACGTTACGCAACAAAAAATTTACAGCAATTTTCAATGATAGATTCCCCGAGTTGCTTACCGAGTCCTTGGATTTTGTTCAGTTTCTGTTCAAGACAGACGTAAAACAATGTGGCTCTTTTGTCCTCGAAATAGCAGAACTACAGACTGACAGCGAGGCAAAGACGAATTTTGCCATCTATGATGACATCATATTGTTTTGGGTTACTTATCAAAATGACATTGTGGTTAAAAATCAAACTAATAGGATTCTGATACAGTTTGGAAGTCCCTATGTCTGTGGGGCAGCTTTCCTGCCAATGGTGTTTATAAAAAAAATATCGTAACCGCATATCAAATTTAAACTTAGAAAATTGTGTGTCATATTGTTTAATCACATATACCTCCACTTAACATAATTTTTTTAATTATAATTATGAATTATGACAGATGTAACTTGTAAATTACAAGTGAAAAAGAACATCACTACTGCCTGTATCAAATTATAAACCTTTGAAAATAATACTTTTCCCAAGAAAAAATGGGATAGCACTGTTATTCATTTTTACCCCCCCCGTTTTTATTAGGTTTGATGAACTTGGATTGGGTTAGGTATTATTTAATCATGATTTCGGTATTCAATTTTTTGTCTTTAACCATTATAATGATAATTGTGGAAGTTTTGACTGTAAACCACTTATCCATTACCTCCCTAACTAAAGTGTAAAAGCAGATAAGTGTCCAAATTCACCATTACCAAAGCTCCTACATAGATCACTGTTGGCACATATAAATGAGTCGTATATGGTTCATATACTGTACCAAGGAATTTCTTTAAGGTTTTTACTAAGTGGCTGCAATAACTACCATCTTCAGTTTGCAGAGGAAGATGTAAGCTACCATTGAAACATTTAACATAAAAACTTGACTAAGAAATAAAGAGAAAATGAACTAAAATGAAGTTTAACACTTTTTATTTTTTTATAACCTTATAAACATATATGTAGGTATACGTACTTAGAAAAATATTGTAAGAAAATTAAATATTCTTGTTTTTGGTGTTTAATGTATTCAGATGAGGTGGGGATCCATGAAATCAAAATCAAATTTTAACCTTTTTATAGGTTAGGTAATGTCAGGTGTTCATTTTAGTCTTTCACCCTGCATTTTCCCTCTACTTCAAAGCCCAATGCACTTTGAACAGTCAATATTGTTGGTAATTGGGAAGGTCTTATCGCTTAAAATAGTCAAAAAATATAAATTTGTGCCGGAAACGCATTAGAAGAAAATCCTTTCCCAACTAAAATTTTAACAGGTAAAACACATTGCTTAAATAAAAATCGGTGTTGGTACGTCATCCAAATTTACCCTATTTTCTTCTATAATTGTTTAAGGTGATCGGAAGTGCACCCTATGGGGTCTAAAATTTTTGTGACATGATTGGCTTATGTCTCCAAATCAGTTATGTATCAGTCGCAGGGATTGGTCGAGAGAAATTACCACTGCCACCTGTCGACATTTTACAAACTAATGACAGAGTTGGTTCGAGCACCACGGCTAAGTTATGAATCGTCAGTATGGACTTCAGATCTCCCAGCAGTTATGAACTTCATATCTCAGCAGTGTTAGTGAATCTAGGCCCTTACCTGTATCTTGTGGTCAGGAAATGGAACTCTTAGTGAATGCCCATGATACTCTTTGGTTGTCTCAGTGGGAACATAACTCTTCCTCGTCAGTCTCCCCCACAGCCTGAGAACAGACTTTGTGGTAGTCTTCTGCATTTTTCTGGAAATCTTGAAGGCACTTCTAACTAATACATGCCTGGCAAAATACTCAACCATCTTCATGACTTCTACTTTGCAGAGACTTATGGAAGCTTTTGATGTAAGGAACACACTTGTGTATAATGAAGATATGTCAAGACAAAGGCTCCTGAGCCACATCCAATCAAGCCTGAGGGTCGATTGAGTGTTCTTTGCATGGGTTTGATAGGGCCTCTCCAGGAGACTCAGCGGGACCACAAGTATATCATTACCATGACAGACTTGTTCACCAAATGGGTAGTTGCATATCCACTGACCTGCAAGAGTGGACCGTGTGTAGCCCAGGCTATTGTGAACATGATCCACACACATGGACCCCCCCACCAGATCATCACAAACCAGGGCCGTGAATTTGTTGAGGAGGTAGGTACTGTAGTACTTTTAATGTTTATTTATTGATTATTCTCTCAAATTATTTGACCAGAGAATAGTCGTACAATTTAAATATTAAATATTGATTGACCACTAAATACCATAAAACATCTTTATTATACTTTGTATGCTATAACGAATCTAATTGGTTCTAGAACCTTGTTCGTTATAGCATTCGTTTGTTATAGGATTAATCCGTTCCAGGCCCCCAAATACAACCACTTAACTCTGAAAAATATAATATAAAGTTGTAAAAATTTAAAAAAAGTGCATAAATATGCATCTAAACCCCTGAAATAAAGAATATCATTAATACTTGTAATAAAAAACAATAAATTAGTAAAAAAAAAAAAAAAAATTAATATTCGTTGTAGGAGTTTTGTTCGTTATAGCATTCTCAATTTTATAGGTAAAACCGTTTATAGGAATATTCGTAGTGGAATCCATTCGTTATAGCATACCCCACTGTATATATTTTCAGGTGCACAAGAGTATCCTGGTCTGTTCAAGGTGAAGCAGTTGATGACATTGACATATCATCCCCAGGCAATTGGACAGGTAACTTTAGATATCCTTATAGGTGCCACACAACATCTGAACATTGCTAAAGCATATCTGCTATTACGGGACATAATACCGAATAGCGTGTGTTTCAGCTACAAAAATTTTATTTAAATAGGAAATACAGAACACGTATGTACAGTAGCTAAAAAACCACCAGTGCATACTCTGTGTGCACTTCGGCACCTCAACTACCCTGAGAGATTGGAGCGCCTGAACTTGCCTAGCTTATACTACAGACGAGCAGGGGGCGACCTAATTGAGGTGTACTGTAAAAGCATCTCAAGGGGGCACTGATCAGTTGAGTGTCCTTAATTGGAGCTGGTGGACGCTTGCCCCACAAGGGGTCACAGCTCAAGATTGAAAAAGCTGCAGGTCCAGAAAACTGTGAGGGCAAACTTTTTCGGAATGAGAATTGTGAACTCTTGGAGCAATCTACCAAAAAGTGTTGTGATGGCACAGAGTGTGAGCTCTTTCAAGACCAGACTTGACTAACACTGGAGAAGGTTCAGGTACATTCAGGAGCCGGTGCATGCCCAGTACTTGCCAAAAGTGCGTAACAGAGACGTGACCGATCGCCCAAGCGGCTCACAAGCCGATCAATTGGTGAAGAGGATAAAAGAAAAGTAACAGAGACATGACCGATCGCCCAAGCGGCTAACGAGCCGATCAGCGGTGAAGAGGATAAAAGTAAAAAGTAAGTGTGTAAATGAGGCAGAAAGTCAGATCAGCAACCTGGAACTTGGTCACAATTTTTGTGATGCCATATGGCAGCAGGGTCTACCATTAGACAATACATTATGCTTCCAATATCTTTCCAGGCAGTAGTACCTCCCTGTTTGGTAGCTGCTACAGTACTTGTACAGTGTTCAAGCAATTTAATGCCATATAATGGGATTACAAACTTATTTTTGATATTTATCTACTGATAAATCCTGAAGTGAATATTAAAAATGCATTGAATTTTAGTTTGTTTTGAGTGAGAACTAGTTTCTATACTGTACTGTACTGTACAGAACAGTACAGTACAGTACAGTACAGTACATGCTTATGGTGTCCTAGAAAGTATTACAGGGCATTTGTAT